GTAAATTACAATACAGTTTGTTTACGATCAAAAAAATATATTAGAAACCAGTTCTAAATTAAATGCTTGTTTTCTTATTGTAAATAAGACTCAAAAAATGCATTTATGATACAAAAGTTATACAAAAGATTTGTGTAAGACATTATTGACAGAGAATTAGCAATATGCATTGTAATTCAGATTGCTGTTAATATACATGTATGGTAACGAAGATTAGTATTATTTTAGTGCAGGTGTAAATTGTCAGTGGGAATGAGCTGTTTGTCATTTTAGGAATATTTACAAGAGGTCACAAGTGCCTGTTAAAACATGGTAGAAATCTCCCATGAATATCTGTGTTTATTTAGTATTGACATGGAGAGTATTGGTGTAATCAGACAACCTTGTCAAATACCTCGCATAATACTCTCTTACCTTGTGTTTCCTTGACCTTTGACATACATCTAAAAACTACTGTGTATATTTAAAGTTAAAGGCAACTACATGTACTGTATTCTGTGTTGATCAGTTACATAATACATTAAGTGTTTTCGGATTCTGTAGCTCTAACAAACATTTAGAATGAGAAAAACGATTGTAGAAATCTTATTTTATGGAGTGAATAAAAATTGTTATTTTTTAAAACACTTTAATACAGTTAATCTCTCGTGTTTATTTTTTGGCAGTCAAACCAGCTAGTAATCTATATCGGTACTTCGATTAAAACGATCATGACAGATTTAGTCAAGTTGATACATTACTTACACCTACCTACATGAAAATACTATATTTAGATGGTTGCAAGGTACTAATATTTCTAATTCTGACTTGAAATACCACTAGTACCTGTGTTGTGGCTTCTTTCAGTCTAAAAATATCATTTATGATTAGCTTTCCAACCCACACATGCCTCAAATGTTAGTCATTAGTTTATAATATAGTTAGTAATTTTTGCTACCAATACTCTTATATCAAGAGCAACGATTGATTACATGTAGGTGCTCAGAGAAATAATATATTTTAAGTTGTTTGTACGGTATTTAATGGCATACTACAGTGAAATGTTTTAGTTTTGCTTCTATTTGAGAAATTTGGTATAAATAACTAGGAAGTTAGGAACACACACATAGCTTAAAGTTTAAATGAACTTAATTTGAACTTTATAATATCATAAAACAACAAACTCAACATTTTCAAGTTTCAAAGTATATAGACCTAATGCAGTTTCATGGGCTTAAAAAAGAAGCTCAGTTCATATATAGTGGGAGACGTGTGATGCTAATCTGTTCACCATCTGCTAGAAAAGATATGTCATCTGCTTCATCTGTCATTGCCTCAGTAGGGATCCTTGTAAGGTATTTCTTACACATGATGATTTAAACATGTCTGACTCTTAAGTAGGGAATTCCAATAGAGCTAAACATGTCAGACTGACGATCTGAAATTAAGAAATTCTTAGAAGTTTCAGACAGTCTTACAATCTCAGTTCTGCATGTATGGAAAACTTTATTGTTTAGTGATATTAAGTTAATACAACTGTGGTTTGTTTTTTGAAAATTAGAAGTGACAGAATCTTAGCTCTTGCCTGCCACTACCGATATTGGTACTAAACTATTTTATTTGTGCCACTTACCTTAACATAAATGCAGGATGATGTTTCGGAACTGCATATTATATGAAAGCTCCTGTCCAATTTTGTGACCAGTCAACTGTAAAACTGTTATTATTCTTAGTTGATGATATAATACATAAGATGATAAGACAGTAAACAGTGTCAAATTACTGTAATTGTTCCGTTTGTTTCCCACTAACCCAGTTATAATCAGCCGTGGGTATTCGTTATATGGGAAGTTGTGTTGATTAGATTGCCCAATCAATATTAGTTAATGTAGTTTCTACCATTAAATCAGAGATCAACTGAGGCATTTATCTAAAGTACATGTAGTACCAATATTAGTCTAACCACCAATTTATCTAACAGCTGGTCAATATACTTTAAAAGACATCCATTTTCCTTAGTGTTACTTAATACTGTAAAAAACTTCTTAAAGTGTTAAAGAATGCTTGGAAGTTGGAGTAGTATTAAAAATTCCAGTCAGTATTTTAAAAAACCTTATTATTCTTGATTTGTTGTGTAATATTATAATGTTTTTGGTGTAATCGTTTGGCTATACGCTTGAGGAGAGTAGGTTTTAGTTTATCCAAAACGTGATTCTGCTCAAATAGCTTCATACTATCCATGCTTGTGTCTATCTAAATCAATAAAATTCAGAGATTTTCATAAAATATTTTGCCTGATCTTGATTGTGTTCTCTAAAAGCATCTCTAAAGCCATGTATTATTCAGTTGTAAGGAATAAAAAAGTTAACTGGCAGAATTCCACACAGGCATGAAAATGATCATATCGAGCATGATGAAATTGTTGAACTTGTGTCAGATTGTGGCAGGAAATAAACAAGATTAAAGCACATATTTTGACTCTGTTCATTGGCATTTATAAATATCTTGACTTTATCTTTGTGATGATGTTCTATGTATATTGCCATTAAATGTAACTTCTTAGGCTTAAGCTAATACTACCGTACCTATCAGAAATGAAATGGGGTTTAACATCCTACTTTTCTGCACCGACTGGGTTAATGAAGACGGGCATATGCCATGCAGTGTGTTATGCGGGTAATTTTGTCCGGACAGCGACGCTACGACCTATTCTTATTTCGAATTCCAACTGTCAAGGTTTCTTTTATGAGCACGGCAATGTGCACACAGGGTCTCAGTCTTTTGTCACATCAGAACAAATATATGTTGTCCCTTGCCAGGTCTGCTGACTTGCACCAGTGACATCTCAATTACAAGGAACAAAATAATCCAGTACATAGGCGTCTAAAGATATGTAGTCTGTACACCCTTTAAGTCTGACCATCTATCAGGTTCATTCCAGGTGTTGGCCCTCTGTCCTTCACCACTGAGAAGGGGGAACCATGCCAGAAAATCCAGATAAACTTACATGGCTAACACAGAGATTGAACATGGTACCTCCAGGTTAGCGAGCCAAATTGCTACTCACCTAGCCACTGCGACTCCCACTGCTTATCAGATTTGCTACATTGACATCATGTACATGTAATCGACTCAGACTATGGCATTATTTCCTTAGGTCATTCAGATTTTTTTCTTTTTGGCAGAATGACAGATAATTGTTTTTTGTTGGATCATTCAAAGAGATTACTGTCTGTAATCCTGAAAATTGTCTGAGGTTTGGAACTTCAGGTTCTTAGATTTCATAGTTAGAAAAAGAAAAAAATATATTTTAAAGGAATTAATTTGAGCACATTTATTGTGTTACTGTGAATTGGGATATTAGAGGATTTAAAGAAAGGGAAAATATGGAGGGTTTTGGTTGTTTATGTTTGTATGCAAACAGGTTAAGATATTTGGCATTATCAAACAAAACAATACAGGTGTTCATTATATTTAGTATTATGTCAGAATCAATTCACCCTCAGCTGATGAGTGAAACTTCCGTACTCGGTACAGGACAAAGACCCTAGTTTTAGTGAAAGAAAAATAAAAGTGTTTTTTGCTCATCGTGTCATTTTAAACTCAACCTTTTAACTGATGTTAAATTGCCACAAGCACACATCATTTACAAATATTGCACGGTTTGAACAAAGATTATCAAGATTTGAATAATTGTTAGTCAGCGAGTTCTAAGGCACATTGTCACTTTAGATCAGAATAGGATATAATGAAATTAACACTGAATTAATAGTTAACCATACAACTTCGAAAATAATGCAGGCAGAATTTTTCCATTTAACAGTCTGCTGAACTCAATATGATATAAAAAAAAGATACCTTGAAATGACTAGAGTTTTTTTGTTGACAACACTTGACTGGTCATTTATTTCATATTTTAAAACATATTATTAAAGTAAGATCTTAGTTAGGCTACTTGTACAGATCATATTTTATGCTGTAGTTTATTCACAGATATAATTGTAAAGTGAACACTATATGCATTATGTAGTATGAACATATTACTTTTTAAATGTTTAGCTGGACTAGGTCTAACTCAACCAATTTTATCTCTTTCTTCATTCATTCATTTAACAATAATTCATCCATCACTTGTCAGATTATATTAGTCAATGAAACTATTTAGTAGGTAATTCTCTGTAACACCAGTTGAACCATAATTTATCATCCCCTTAGATAGTGACAACATTAACATCAAATTGTTCTGAAAGATAAAGTTGATACTGTTTATAAAGTACTAGTATTGGCAATCTTCAATTGATCCACAAGTTATAGACCTAATCAAATGAAAACGAGGGATACCAATCATTTAAATGTCTATTTATTATAGAAAAGTTTTGTATGTAATATTTAACTTAGTTGTGTTTACAACAAGAAAGAGTTCAGCAAACAGGGCAGAAAATATCCATTTTCGGAATGTGAAAAGTCCAAGTTATAATACTTTAAGATTACTTCTCTAATATTTGGGAAATAAGCCATCATGTACCAAACAAGGTTATAATATGCCTTGAGTTGGTGCGACAAAATTCCAGACTCAAGCTGTTAAAATCCTTGAGACCATTCTTTAAGTGGATAATTGAGTGTTATAATATTAGGACATGTGTTTTACATTTTATCATAGCTTGATAACAAATGAGACTTTTGACAGTAAATTAAAAGTATATATGTCAGAGAGTGATAATAAATTAAGAGTCATAAATCAAAGTAAATCAGCTTTTTAGCTGACTGTCACTGTCAGTGACTAAACCCTCCAAAAAAGAGATCTCAAGACTTAACCCTCCAAAAAAGAGATCTCAAGACTTATTTCATGTGTCATTAACATTTTCAGTGATCCTGTAAAACTAAGCCAAAATCTGCAACCACAAGCTTTCCAACTTTTTGTTTTAGTACAGTACTAGCGAGCACCATATTCAGTGATGGCACCAAATGTTTTACATTTTTGCAATGACATGTATTTATTATTTCTGTCTTGTATTTTTCAGATATTGCTTTGGATTGGTCAGACCATGCATTATGGTGGCCAGAAAGAAATATGTGGTTATCGCGTACACGATCCACCCTAGATCAGTACAGTGTTCAGGCCGATGCCAAATTACAATTTACACCAATGCACAAAAATTTACGGATACAATTACCTGATTTACAAGTGTTAGATATGAGAGTGGATTTTTCTACAAAAGTTTTTGCAACAGTGGTACACTTGTGCAAGGAATTAGGTAAGTCCAAAACCCTCCCCACTACATGTATGTAGCCATTGCAAGAGTGTCGCTTAGAGATTCAAGAAGCCATCTGCCATAAGTGAAAAAATTCTTGACTATGTCCTCTCTTTTGACAAAATCTTGAATACATCACTGAGTGTTTGGATGCATTCAATTCTTTGTTCGAGAGAAAGGTTGATTATTAAATGGAGCATATGTCGATAAAATGGATCTAGGGCACCCTGAATAGAAAAAAATATCTAGGTCTGTTTTCTGTAGGGAGCTTTACAATCACTTTTCATTTTACAAACACTTTATATTGACACTATATTTGATCATGATATATGGAAATATACACTGATATATATGACAGACGACCATTATTATCCTTACAAACTTTACAAAATGACTGACTGATCATAAACATATTATTATACTCTGTACTGGATAACATTTTGTGATTTTGTCTAGACCTCGGCTGGTAACTTTCTCTGGTTATCAAAATCTGTCAAGCATGAAACATTTGTGATGATAATTTGCAACACCTCAGTACATGTTTGATATCTGGAGTCGATCATCATGGTCATCATGTTTAGAACAAGATCAATCATCCCAGTTCACTCATTCATGAAATACTATGTATTGTAGACAAATAATACAATCTTTAGGCATATACATGTAGTATGTACATGTAAGTCACTGACTGCTAATGTTTAGAAAGATCTGTATCAGAGAATATCAGAAATAGTTCAAGTTCCAATCTGAAAAAAAAAATCTCCCATCTACATATATACACATGGGTTGCATCACACACACACACAGTACATCTAAACTTATGATGTTACATGCATGTTAAAAGTTAAATTAAAAACCACATCATGCATGAAATTGTTTTGGTATTCATAGATTTAAAACATTTGATTTTAAATCATTAAAATAATAAATACTCTCTCACTCACTAAGTTACTTAACCATGCATTATGCAAGAGGTAAATCTGCCTATATTTCTTTGGGCCTAAAATGTTATGCTATTAATTAGACATTTAATTTATTAACATGAAAAGACCATTATCAACTCTCAATGCAATCTTATGTGTCTGATTTTCATTGGATTTGAATCTGATCTGCTGTTCAACAGCTGTTGTTGATTAAACACAAAAGTGGATAATCAAGACTTTGTTAATTATCGTGACAGCGGTAACATTGATAATCAAGGCTACAGTGATTTTTAACATTCTCGGCTTAAGAGTGAAACAATTTGACTGAAATTTTCAGCATATTCCATTTACATCATCTAGTTTAAATTTTAACTATTATAGTGAGAACTACCAGCTCTTTATCTAATCTTCCATAATGTATCTTTAAGAGAAAGGGAGTTTCATATTTTGAAAATATTTCTAGTATGCCTGAGGCATGAAATTAATCAGGCTTACAATAATAAAGATAGGTGTTTTTATATGACAGGTTATAAATTTGTTTTAAAAGCTTTTCATTGTTTTAAAAAACACAGTTAAACAGCTCTGACAGTTGAAACACAAACAGCCAAAAATTATAATGATATGTGCTGTTGTTTAGATATATCAGTTAAACTAATTTTAAATTGGTAGCGAAATGCAAAAAGAAAATATAATTCATGAATTTGTTTAAATCTCTAGCCTGTTACCTGTTTTCAAGAAGGCTTTATTTTTCTGAATATAAGCTTATGGGCTTAAATCTTCAACTAGCTATGGTCTGTATAGTGCACCCTTCAATAATTTTGTGGAAATTTGGGGTTTTGATTAGGATAAGTGTTTGAATGGCTGTTGGAACAAAGCTTGTTTTCCTTATAATCTGTGTGAACCCTACACTCTTTAAAACTATTGTGTTTTTAAACTATCTAATGATATATATATAGCCATCTGAACGGCATACCTACATAAGATCGCTGATTTTACCTCTTGTTTATTATTGACATTGTTACATGTAGTTTATCATTACCATGTTGTAAATCTAAAAATAAAATAAGCCGAGTTTATGCATCAAAAAATCAGTATAATGGGCAGGTACATACATGTATGTACCATCAGTACAAAGAACATTACACAATTATAGGTGCCATGCATGGTTAATACTGTATTATTTTTAAATAAAAAGTGCTTTAGGGTAAGGTGGAGTAATAATAAAGATAAAACAATACTTACTAATGCAATTTTAAGTATAAAGTAATTTAATGTAAGAAAGGCTTATTTTTAAGCACAAATTTTAATTCTACCATTAAGTGTTTACCATTTGAATATGTTTACATGTATTACTGACTGTGATTTATTATGTACATGAAAATGTTAGCCATTGCAAATGGATGTTTAATTAGGGTTGTTCGCATTTTGTTGTTTTGTACTGTTAGGTTTGCTGCAGGCAGTTTTACATGATTTAGGTTACTTACGCTTATTCGACTAAGTAAAAACAGGATATGACATGATTAATTAGAAATTCCTTTTGACTGTGTTTATCTTAGTTTGTTTATGATAAAGCTGGAATCTCTGTTCGCCTTATATAATTGATATTTCATTATTTTTAAAACTTTTGTGAATTCTTGATGAATTATTTCGTAAAAGGCCTATGTTTGGTTTCTTTAGGAGGCATATGTATATCAACCAGATTTGGTTGGGGACTAAGGATAAAAAAAATATTAATATAATGTTTTGACATGCTAAATTTGGGCCATTTATTGGCAAATTACAGCCCACATCAGTTTTTGTCTCCATAGCAAAGTGTATAGTTAAACACAGCTGTAATATCTGACAGTATCCCTTTAAATTGTTGACTGCAAGTCACATTCCTACAAGAGATTTTTTTTGATATGTGCATTTATAACATAGGGCTGAATTTGTTGATCCAACATGATATTATTACAGGAATTTGTCCTCACTGACATGAACATGTTTAAATAACATACAAGATGTTGCCTACACAATCAACAGTTAAAAGTTGTTTTTATATTAAAACTTGCATTTCTATAAATTCTGGTACTAATAAAGTACATGTAGCTGTGTGTGTGATTTGGATTTTTTTTGGAAACTATCAAATTGCTCATGGCTTAATCCACTCCAGTATGTACTCAAACTGATTATTTAACAAAATCAAAATATCAATGCTCAATAATCTGGCTTATATTCAGTCGGATTTCGCAAAACATAAAAATGGTGGTGTACCATTTACATGTACATAGGAAGCAGCACAGATTGATGAGATTTCAGTTCATATCGTTGTAAACACTGACAAGGGCGTGGATTTGTCATAACTTTTGGGGGGGACGGACGAACCCTGGAACCTTTCATTACCAAACCAAAATAATAATTACGAACATTATTAGGGGGGGATGAACACTGAATGGACAGTTGATATTCCTATTAAAGATTCAACTTTTGCAATTATAGTTTGCAAGGGATTCTTAGATCACATAGATGACGCTCAGAGAAGTATAAAAACAACCTGTGAAATGTTATGGTAACATCAGCAGACTGTATGCTCATATTGTTTGAAATTAATGATTAATGTTTTTACTTTAACTAAAAATGTAATAAATCAGTAAACCGATCAGTTAAGTTGAAAGGGCTAGAGTGTTATTGATGTTTTTTTTAACAGTCAGATAGATAGAGGTTAACATGTAGATATATGGTATAGGTATAGATGAGATATAAAGATGACCAGCAGGGAGTTTAAATATCTATTACATTTGTATTAAAGGTATATATAGTGTAAGGTATAATGGACCGTTACTACAAGGAACAACCAAACACCCCCTAAACTCTATGTTGACACTGTTTAACAAAACATGGCTTTTAGTGTAGTGTGGGTTACAGTACATGTGTAATTTTCAAATTAAATTCTATTTATTCTAATCACCTTTTGTAGTCAGTAGGTTTCGATTGGCATTGGGGAATATGGTATACAAAAATAAATTATGTGTTAGTGGGATGAATGGACATTTTGGTATCTGATAGATAATGGATTATGTACTATTTGAGTATTTCCTTAGGACACAGTTTGATGGAATACAAATGTTAACTATTGAGTGACATTTTGACTAGAATTCTCTAGACTTTATCAAGTGAAGCATTGCTCAATAATAATAGTAATTGTATTCTGTAGTGTCCTGGGTATGTATCCCAATTCAATTACTGAATCCCAAATTCCCAATATCACTGAATATCAGTAACAAAAGATTTGAAAGTAAGAGAGGTTCTATAAGTTATATATAGTAATTATTGACATGTAGAATACATGTACATACATGTAAATATCAATAGTTTTATCTGGAATGTTATATTACCAGCTGTTTATTAAATATTAAACCAACATCTTGACAATCTATATATCCAATCAACAGTACACACAGCTTCATATCACAATTGATTAGAATACTGTAACATAAAATCATATCAGCCAAACCTTCTACTTTATGTAAGATATTGGTTGAAACCCCCATCCTTCGGATGAGACGAAAAACCAAGGTCCCGTGTATATATTGGAATGCACGTAAAAGATCCCCTGGCAGTTGGAATTCGATATAAGAGTAGGCGATAGTGCCGCTGCCCGGGCAAAATTTCCCTCATAGCACACTGTATGGCGTATGCCCGTCTTCATTAGCCCAGTATAGGAGCAGAACAGTAGGACGTTAAACCCCATTTCATTTCATTTCATTTTGAAACCCCCATTGGTCCACCATTCTGTCAATGTCAATACAAATTTGTGAGCCCAATTTTCCTCAGAATTTATTGGAATTTGGAATGTGACTGTCTTGAGCTAACACTCCAAGCTTTTCCTTGTTTGCTAGCTGCCATTCCTAAAACTTCCAAGAGGCTGATCCTGCCGTGACATTCATTTGTTACATATAAGAACATGGCATGTTACAAATAGCTTTCAAATTTCAACCAAATTGGCATGTCGTCTATAGATAATGTACCTACAGGTACGAGATCTCATAATGCACGGTGTTGCTGGCATTAATAAAACGATCAAGGATCATTGACACCAATTACTCAGATACATGTACACATGCATTATAATTGTGATGGATAGATCACTACCATAAAATTTTGTATAATATAATGGAACATTAAATAATTGTGTGTTTTTTTCACAGGTATCCGATTTCCAGAAGAAATGTCTTTTCTTCGGAGACTTGATAAAGATGATTTAAAGCGAGTGGTTAAAGAAGCAACTAAAAAGAAAAAGAAAGATCCTGAAGCAGCCGGTCCACTTAGTTCTAATGGTCATCATTCTTCATCAGGTAGTCTAGATGGGCTTAGTCCTTTTCCTAGCAGAAGTCCAATGGGACCTTCTCCTTCAGTAAGTAGACTTTTTAGTATAAACTTCTATCAAGTGGTCAATGCTTTTATCAATGCCCTGTCTCAAATCGGTGGTGATCAACAATCGTAATGATAAAGAACATCCACTAATCAAAATTGGGCCTAGCTTTCTGGTTTAATGATTGCCAAGGTATTGCTGTGTTCTCTTCTAATAGTTCTATGGCCAGACAAGCAAACCATATGCTGCTAGGTGCATTATGCTCATTGGTACTGTAGACTACATTTTTGAGGCCCTGGAGCTTGAAGGGTGACAATGTGCCATTTACAACCAGCAACTAGGTCTAGGTAACCACTGTTATCTGCTTCAGTGGTGGTGGTCTTGTTTCAAAAAAAAAAAAAAAAATTCGTACAATTCTTTACACATATCTAATTCAATAGAAACTTAATCCCTAAACCTTCCTGTTCTATGTAGTAGCGATCCTAACACTACATCTTACCTAAATTTTTAAGCTGTGTGTACTATAGTCGCTTCCGTGACCCCTCCGGGACTAGGACCCCGAAGCTTGAGCTTATTATTAGTTTTATAGTAGGACTGCCACTGATTATGCTGGATTTATCACTGCACATAAATTTAACAAACAAATGAACACTAGATAAGTCATGCAAATTTACTATTAATAATCAGTTCATTTATTATTTAATAATGAACTTCACGTGATTATGATTTTTTTAAAAAGAAATTATCTCTTTTTATTTCAGAGCACTTTAATTCGATCAGCAGGAAGTCCATATAATATGTCAGGAAATATGTCACAATTTAATTCCTTTAATGGCACAATATCTCCTGGTTCCATGCACAGTTTATCGTTTGAAGGAGTAATGGAGTCAACATTAGCAATCAGTCCGCCGGTGCCCACTAAAGAAGCTTTCCAATATCTTTACAGACCCAAAAACTTCATAGAAAAAGCAAGAATTAACTGTGTGTAAGTAAAATGTGATTAGAACTTATAAATTAAAAAAAAAAAAATAGTCTTAGGGACACGACTCTAACCATTTAAGTGCTCTTTGAAATGACCTTCCATGATAATGGAACAAGTAAATTGAGATTGTCAGAAATTTATTATAAATGATAAATTGAGAAATGCCAATACAGTAGAAAATTATTTTTAAGAGATAATACTATTGGTTATTTTCAGATGGTTAGATTCTTCCCGATCTTTAATGGAACAAGGAATACGAGAAAATGATTTTATTATCTTTAAATACAAATTCTACAGTTTCTATGATTTAAATCCAAAGGTTTGTACCAGAATTATATTATATTTGTTAATATTTAAAAAGAAAAAAAAGAATTTCTATTTTAGCTTAGTACAAAAGTTCATTTACTTGTACAAGGACAGATGTCTAGTCATTCAGATGGAACGAAAAACCGAGGTCCTGTGTATACATTGGCGTGCATGCAAAAGATCCCTTGGCAGTTAGAATTCGATGTAAGAGTAGGCCATAGTGCTGCTGCCCGGGCACAATTTCACTCATAGCACACTGTATGGCGTATGCCCGTCTTCATTAGCCCAGCTGGAGCAGAACAGTAGGACGCTTAACCCCATTTCATTTCATTTACTTGTTAGCTATTATAGAAAAATGACAGAGTCTAAAATTTTCCATAATCCAAATTATCTCGACACTGTCTGTAAAAATTAAAGTTACATACAATTTTACAATATTCGCTCGCATATAACTAAATCTCAGAATGATTCAACTAGTTGATTGCACAGAGAAATTTGATTATGTGTATATTAAGTATTGAAAGATCTAAGATATTTACGTCTGGCTATGACTAAGAAGTGTTTTTATGTTGTTTACTGATGTCAGAGTCTTTGACTTTTGGCAAAGATGTGGGGCTAGAGTGCCAATTTACACACCAATTCTTGTTTTTATCACGAAACACAATCTAACCTAAGTAATAAGGATGTTGAGATTTCATCCGTGTGATATAAGTAGCTGCGTAATCTATCACCATACATGTACATATATATATATATATGCATTCTATACAATCATTGATTTCCTGGGTTGGGTTCGACTGCAGACTCGTTGGAATGTGAACTTTAATTAAGTACCAAGAAGAATTGATTTTGAATTGTAAACATTCATTTCTATGCAAATTGAATTTCAAGTATCGCGATATTTATTTAAATGTATAATCCTTTATTGTAAGAAAATTGTGAGTCATTTCAATTTTGAATCATTTTACAAAAACTAAAGAAAGAAAAATGTTACCATCAAAAGAACAACCTAAGTTAGAAATGTGATAAAAAGGAAATTGAACAGTTTTAATATCTCAAGAATGTGTTACATGTAGATTTGTCATATGGGGTGATATCACAAAGTCCATTAATACAGCAAACAGTTTAAACTAGAAAAATACAGGTTTCATTGAAAGCTGATCAGTTTTATGACTTGTGTAAAAAAGGCTGATGATGTACTTTAAATAGAATAGGGTGTCTTGGTGCTAATTTCTTAATTACAACAGTATGTAATTAGTAGAGAGGTGAAATATTGCGTCTGGTATGGGTCAGTCAGTTCAGCTGAACCATTTTCTTGTTTTGTTATTTATTAGTTTGTGACTGGTATTTAGGTTAATGATGGTATTATCACATCTCGTTCACATCTAATGTCGTGTTCTAATCTGTTCAATAGATTACACGAATTGATATGTTTATTTCAAATACCAGGTCTTAAGCCGCATTTCCACTAAAATTGGGGAGAAAAACAAGAGAGAATTGGGGTTTAATGTATCATAAATACATCATTTTGGGACTGCCACGATTCAATTTAATTTCAATAATTTGCTTGCGCATACAAATGTAGGTGTCTTTGGTAGTTGGAGGAGACTGAAGACAACCCACAATGTAAAACAGGCAACCCTACTACTTGTCACATACAAGTGTGAGATTTTAACCATGTCAAATAACTCAATGACAGAACTTATGATCTTATGGGGAAATTATAACCTTTTGATTGCAGTTTACAGTATACATGTTATTTTAACTGTGACTTAAAAGAATATTTAGACCTATGTTACATGTATAATTAAAATAATTGTCATGGTGATTCATTACAAAACAAATCAAGTAGATCTATTGAACGTCATGATTGAATATATTACATGTACGTAATAGGAAACTATCTATAATTAATTACATACCACTCCCTGTATTAAGTCATGACTACTGATTAAACTATTTTCAAATCAGACATAGTCCTAATCAGAATTCACACAGTTTTTTTGTCTTTTTTAAAAACTATTTTTGTACATTAGTATTTTTGACTTTTAACAGAAAGATGAATTATTTATAACTTAGGAAACAGAAATGGTGAATCAATCAATCAATCATCAAGATATTGAAAGCCTAATATAAGGGTCAGCTGATATTGATCTCATTAGTAAGCTTACCTTTAAATTGCGATTCTCGATTAAATTCAGCAAAATATCAGTTTACTACATGTACATCCATATTGTGAATATGAATTATGATCAAATACACTCTTCAAATTATTCAGATGTAATTGTATACAAATGATATCTACTGCTAACACCAATATTCAAATAATTGAATAGTTTAAGACTATTTGAACTATCTGTTATTATCCATTATTCGATGTCTGTTAAAACTAATTGAATTTGATTTATTTCGTTGCCATTGAACTATCCACTATTTATTAATATTAACTGAGGGAAACTAACTAATATCTAAAACAAAACAAAGAAAGAAAATATATTGATATTAAAGATTTACAGTTTACTAAAAAATCTGAAATGCACCAAGAATTTGGGATTTAATTGAGTTGAATATTCAATCAGAATTTGAATGTTATGTTGGTTCAAAAATTACTAAATAGATGAATCCCATTTTAAGTTACGGATATCTAAAGTTCTCATTACTTATTGATTTCCTGCAACCGTTCTTATCGTCTTTTACAGATTGTTTTTTTGTTTTCATCTTCTAAATTATATCTAATGAACATTTTTAATGCTATATGTTAAATTTAAAGAAGAAATGATTATTGGTCTTCTGGGGTCGACCAGAACCAATTTTATAGATATGGGTCATTGTTATTGGCCTTTAATCCTATTCTTGACAAAATTGTAAAGCTCTAATAAACATCAAATGAGGTATGTATTGATATTAGGGACTAAAATTAGATGTAAATTCCTAGGCATCTGGTTACCTATGATGGAAAATGGTTCTATTAACAAGGTATACTTGTGGTGTAATTGGTAACTTTTTTTATTGGCATCATGATGTAGGTTGAAGTATATACAGTGTATGGATATAATAATACGATAAAAGAAACAGTGTCAAAAAGATATGATACCACAGATAATGTAAACAACCGCCCGATGCCATTTGACCTAAAAATGTAACAAAGTAAACAAAATATGTATAACATTATCTGTCGACACCTTTGTTTTTCTCATAATAGTATCACTGACCCATATATAGAAAAGTGGTTCTGGTCTGGTTGCCATAGTTACCTTCTGGCATTACTCAAACAATAAGGTGTCCGATTTCGTTCAATATGGCTTCCAAGAGAAGAACTAACAAACATTGTATCTGGAGATTGTTTGGTGTAGAACTATAAGTGCAGAATGTGATGAGTTGACAGTTGGACTGATTAAGTTGGACTAACTAATTGTTAGAACAGATCCCAATACATGAAGTGGGATTTATTACAGTTAACCTACAAACCATCAATTGATAACTTATTTTTTTATAACCTAGATAAAAGAATCCATTTTGATTCCATGTAAATTTCTAATCTTATAAAGTGTAGTATAATAATACAGGGTGGGGGGTGTCTGTTGCTGATCCGATCAATTTGTAGTTAACATATGTACAAATCATTGTCTGTCTTTATTAGGCTGCTTGGTGCAGAAATAGTCAGTGTTAAACCCCAATTCATTACATTCTACATTACATTATTTTAACACACACACAAAGTGATTTTACTATTTAAAATAAAAAAGAAACATTCTTTTTGTTAACAAAAAAATCCCTTCTGTGCATGTGTTAAAGATTACAACATATGTTGCCGAAAGCCAGGAATTTCCAATTGAAATTAAAAACTAGCATATGTACACATACAGGTGCTTGAAGTTCTTTAAATTTCAGAGACTGTGTGTGATAGTGCAAGTTGTAGGCTAATGATACAATAGTTCTGGTATTAATTCCTATATGTGCGGTAGGAAATATAAAGTAAATGTGTGTTATATATTTTTAATATTTATATTACAGTATGATGCTATAAGAATTAATCAGATATATGAGCAAGCCAAATGGTCTTTAATGGCAGAGGAAACTGATTGTACAGAGGAAGAAATGATGATGTTTGCAGCCTTGCAAGTAAGTTTAAATCATCAGGAACTTAGTGCCTGTTAAATCCTCACTTAGGTACTTATTGCCCCCTAAAAACCTACTTTCAGAGTCAATGTGCCAGATGGTTAAAAAATATCAGGCAAGTCAAATAATATTTGATCTTCTTAGCTTGATTTAAACAGGCATTAGCACTTTGGAGGTTTTCTCCTCCGTTTGTAGAAAAGCCCAAAGTTTTAATTTGAATATACGATTTTAAGTTTCTTGGTAAGACTCAGTAAGAGTGAAAAGATAAATAATTATACAAAAGTTGTTTGCTGTATAGTCTTCCTAAATAAATAAGTACCAAGTGTTCAAGAAAGTATATAAAAGTTCTATATATTCATTATCTTCAAGAACACATGGTACTGTACTTCAGTTGAGTAATTTTCATTAAGGAAAATGAGGTTAGTGCTGAATGATTATGATCAGATGTACTTGATGTCATTGACAAAGAATTCTATGTTGGCATTTCTGCACCCAGAAGACAATGGATGTTAGTAATCAGATACTCGGTAGCGCTTAGAGTGGAAGAACCACAATGATTTATCTATAACAGTTTCTGGCTTATTTTACATGAATAATAAAACTAAAATTCTATTGCATTGTTAATATATTAACATACTACATTATAAAATGTATGTATAATCTTGACTTTGGAGGTTGGATGGCTGGATCATCTTTCGCTACATATCGCTGTTTGATTCCATGATTGTGTGTGACTATGAACAGGGTCACCTTGTAGATTTTCCCCAGATATACAATTTTCACGTACTGCAGGAAACTCCTTTATCCAAATTAAAGAATTAAAATATATTTTATGTTCACCCTGAGCTGACACTGATGTGTTCATTGTACATTAAACCCAAACCCAATTAAAGAAATCATAGTTCATGTTAAGATGTGCACTTAAAGTTGTTTAGAGTTGTGTGTATACAATATGTATGTCTACCTGACTACATTTCACCAGACAAAAAACAGACCTGTCTAAATCCTGAAACCATTGTTTCAAACTCAACATTTGGCATTGTTTTATTGTGTGTAATGGTGTCTACTATAATAAACATACCCTACATGTACACCTACGATAAACATACGCAACTCCATTTTCAACATCTGTTATTAACAGACGCTATACTTAAAGAGGTACTATCACTCTGGCTTTTGCCAAGGGTTGGTACAAATATTATTTTGGTATTCACAATGTAGTTTGGTCAGGATTATTCAAATTAGATAGTGTGCAAATCATTAGACAAATTTATCAATCCATAACTAAGATGTAAGATATAGTCTTATTATTAGGTTTCAGTTTAGATTTTCAGTAAACTATCCTAAATACTTAAAACTGACAGAAACATATAGATTTTGTTGTTGTGACTTATGTAAGTGCCTGTTTTTAGACATCATAAGTACAATAACCTGTCTTTTACGAACCTTAGCAACATGATACAGAAAAATTCTATACTGCGAAAAAACCTACCATTGTTGTCTGGTGCAGACCAGGGCAAATACTTAAAATATTATTGACTTCTCAAATGTTAAATAAATTGAGTTGCTTTGATCCAGATTTTAAAACTTATTAAACATGTGTGTGTAACTTGAATAAAAGATATTTTAAATTTACAACAAAAATTTGTTAGCCATGTGAACTCCTGATAGGAGAAGTAGATCAAGAGCTAATAAGCCTACCATGGCCCATGTATGACACCCATCACTACTTCTAGCTGATACAGGCCAGACTATAAAACCATATATTATATGGTGGGGGCATCATGCATAATGCATTATATGCTTACTTTTTCTAGAACACTTCATACCACTTATCATTTCTATGGGAAGCTCACACAGCTAACTGCGTCTATTATAGCTTTGTAAATTACCATTTCTAGTACATGGATTTAACTTTCAAATGACATCATGTATGTAGAATTAATATACACACTATTTATACACATGCAGCTGCAGCGTACAAATAGAGCGACTATATTTAGCTTGATCGTAATCTCAGTAAACAACTGGGCTATTTTTTAGTGTTGGAGAGGTTCATGCATATAATAAGTTTGCTTAAAGTTTTAGTTTACATCACATGCATATATTATGTGTAATGAAAAATAAAACGTCTTTTATTAGAATTATTTTCTTTATTCTCTGTTGTATTGATTTCGAAAGGTGCATGCATATGTGTAATAAGTTGCTTAAAGTTTTAGTTTATATCCCATGAATATATCTATAATCAAAATTAATACATCTTTTATTAGAAATATTTGTTTTATTCGGGTTACTATTGATTTCTGTGTGTTAGAGTTTGTATTTCATTAAATGTCAGCTCATGTTAATTGAGTTGCATAGACAGTTTACAATAAAGCCTTATCGAGAATATGCATCTTCATGTGTAATGCAAATCATTACATTTTATCAGCACAAATGAAATGGCATACAAGACCTGCCTACGCATGTTGTGTCATTTGAGTAATGAAGTATGCTATGCATGATGTATTAAAACATATTGACAGAACTGATGTGCTCCACGTGATACCGCCTTTTTTTTTTATTAAATACAGGTTAAAATGACATTTGTACCATAATGATGAGATTTAATCACTATTTTAAAACCAGGGATGATAGAATTATTCAATATTAACTTAGATCTCTGTATTCATTATTTCTCTTTGTTATGCATCCTTTCATTTTTGTGTTAAAAAGATGTAGATTTGTAAACTGTTTCTTTTAATGTCCTAGTCTATACATGGCTGACTTAATGTGTATACTACATGGAGCTATGCTTTGAGGGACTATTATTTAATTTTCTTATGATTTATATAATGGTTGGATAATAATATCAGATTATTGTTACCCTGCATGTATATGATGCATAGTATTAGAGTTAATGTTGATATAACTCATGCAAAGATGTCCCCCACATTGTTTAGGATGTTAGACAGTTAAATTCTAAACATCAGAATTAGATCACATTAACCCAGGGTACATGTATCTTAAAAATAAAAAAAAGATTGAATGAAAACATCTGTGGTCATAAAAAACATAATGGGTAGTTTTTGCAGCATTAAGTTTCAAGGTTGAATATTTCTGATTGGGAATGTAAACATTGGATTAAGATAAGAGGTTTTAGTCAACTTGTTGATTTCAACTCCAATGTTTTTCAAGTATTTTATGCAATTAGTGTGGGTGTTCATTCCTTAGATGTTATGAATTAATATTTGTCAAGTAGAAACATGTGAATATTTTTTGTTGTTTATCAAGTGGAAGTATTATTGAAACACCGTATAAACTATAAAGATAGGGTCCTGTATCAACACAATATGCTGCCCATCATGTCATTGCATGACAAAGTTTTTGTTTGATCAGTAAGACAAATGCATAGCTTACAGGGGCATTAGATGAGATTAGATAAAGACCTGACAGTTCTCACTATAATAGTTAAAAAATAGGTAATGAAAAGAGAATATGCTGAAAATTTCAGCCAAATTGCTTCACTCTGAATCAAGATATTAGCGATTCAATTTTAGGCTAGCCTTGATCATCATTACTAATGTTGGTAGTTGGTACGATAGTAAACAAGTTTCGATTATCCATTTTTACGTTAAATTATCCACCACAAAATGTATTCAAATTCCCTAAATATTGCTGCTAACGATGGCATTTAGAGTTGATTATGGTCTGGATAAGTTAATTAATTTCTAATTAATAATTTAGATAACAATTAAGGCCTAAAGAAAGACTTGCAATAGGCAGATTTAGCTCTTGCATAATGCATGTTTAAATATGGTCCTAATCTGTCTGACATTTAAACCCTGTATAATCTAAGTTAAACAGCAATTGTAATATCATGTATCTTTGCATTGTTTAATTTTAGTTCCAAGTTCAACTACAGTCTGGACTTCCGCAACCTGATCTCGATATGACCAACAATATGAACCACACAGAAGATGATGATATTGATGCTGCTCTTAAAGACTTGCAGGAATCATTAGAAGGAAACTCAATATCCACCCCAGGAGACATAACTCACATACCAGAACTTGGAGATTTTGTGCGATTTTTAAAGTGAGTCTTAATTTGATTTTGACAAATTTTAACGAAAACTGATAGCAAGAAATTCCAAGATAAGTTTATAGTAACAATTGTGAAGGCTGTGATGTTGCATTCAAATAAAATATTGGGAAAGTGATCCTTTACTCTAGTTGTCAAATCCCTCACACATATGATAAAAGTGGTATCAAGTGTTATGAAATGAGTTTGAATACATGTATAACACATGTTGTGGTGAGGCCAAATCTAGTCAAGAGTTTCTAGATAGAACATTGTGGCAATAAAATTTAAAAGGCATTTTTGTGTTAACTTGTGTAAAACTATATGTACATTTATTTTGCAGGCCTAAAACTATATATGTACATTTATTTTGCAGGCCTAAAAAACTAACATTAAAAAGTTACAAACGATATTGGGCTACATTTAAAGACACACATATTGCTTTCTATAGAAATCGTGAAGATACAACCGCTCAGCCTCTAATGAGATACTGTGTTAGAGGTTAGTATATCTTTATATTTGTACTTTTAATGATTTTGGACATAGGGTTTCAGAAGAAAACAGGTTGGAGATTAATAACCATAACTCAATTTTGTAGTTACATGGTGGAGGCCGCTGGTAGCCATGTTTGAAAATGAGGTTGTGAAAAAATATGCTAATTTGACAGTGTGTATATTGATCAATGGGTTCCGGGAAATTTTGGTCAAATTTTAATTCAAGCGGCCAAGACTGGCATAATATAGCTAAGTTGAAACCTGTAGTATATTATAGTGAGACAATAATATTTTATACTACACAACTAACATCTGTCTTACACTAAACTAATTAATAAATAACATCCTTGTGTACATTTGTCTGAAAATGAAAATAATACAACCTTTTGAGATAATTCAGTTGTGTAATGTATTTTAAGTAACATCGGTAAAAACATCCAAACATGATAGAATAGGAAGTAATTTTATTTATTCTAGGACCTTCAACCTTCTTTGTGTCATTGGACACTTGCAACTTTGACACACCCATCTTCTTAGATGGCTTCAAATATAATTCATACAAAGTTAAAGCAATGAAATACGATGAACCCTAATACATTGGTTCTGTTGGAAGTGTAACAAACAATGACCATATTTACAAAATACAGACACCTAACTCGAAAAAACAAAATTTTACCATAAACATTATTTACTGGTACATATTGAACAGAAAATAACAAAAAATGATTATATTACAATACTAGTATTTTTTTATCTTTATTTTACATGGAGTTTGAGTGTAGTCGTGCAACCCCAGAGAGAAATCTATTTAAGGTTGTACAGTTTGTGCATGTGTTGTGATATAAATAACTACTTCACAAAAATCTGACACTTCAACAGGCTGTAAAATTAAACTCAACTTACATGAACAGGAACATCATTAATCATTATTAAATGCATAAAATATTATAGTTTAGGTACACATTATGATTATATTCATTTATGATTTAAAGAGAGGCTTCAGACATTTCAGTATGTTTTTCTTTGAATTATATTCAAATGGGATGAAAAAGAGAGAGAAATGGGGTTTAACGTCCACTCGATACAAACTTGGTCATGTCAGGACTAACACATGGTTCAATTTTATTTCAATAATTCGCTTGCGCGTAGGGGTCTTTAGCAGTGGGAGGAAACTGGAGGATATGGAGATTGGACAGGCGACCCTACTGCTTGTCACGCACAATGGGATAAAAAAAAAAACCTGAGGTCCTGTGTCTTGCAACAATTCTATTAATACATTATTGTCGACAGCATCAGCATTTGAAAAGTGGTGGTCCTCGTTTACTTCCATTTTTTTTATTTATAGTCACATGACACTTGTCTCTTATCATGTGATGTTATTTCCGTGGAAACAAGTTGACACCAGTTGTAAGAACGCTCATGTCCACGGCAATTAGTTGCCAATAGTTGAAGCGAGTTGCAGAAAGTTAAGCATGGGCAAGTGGTTTCAACTGACAGGAACTAGTTCCTTTGAGTTGTAAGAGGTGCTCAGGTCAACCTTTTACAGTTACATTCAATTTGTGGAAGCCAGTTTCTCCCAGTTGCCAAAACTCCAGTTGCTCTCAGTTGTAAGGTCAACATAAGTCCCCCTTCTAGACTACTAGTGAATTTATGATTTGTAATACTTGGTGTACAGACTACAAGTTATTATAAAGACTATGATCAGAATGTCTTTAAGACAAAGTTGTATATAATAATTGATTTATTACTCAGTTAGCAATATTATGAGTCACCAGCTCTCTAAAAATATGCTGTATATCTTTTACTCTATAAATAAAGCCCAAGCTAACATTTAAGTATAGTAGACAAATGATGTGATAATATACTCAGCATCTGGTTAGAGTTTGGCAAAATGTCAACTCTGTATTACTTTACTTTGTGTTAAAATCCTACTAATTTATTCAACACATGAAAACAAAATGCAGTTGTTCAGATATAGTTGTAGGAACTAAACAGAAAACTTCCAGCCCCATACCACTTCATTGTGTTATATATTACTGTCCTCTCTTTATTTGTATGGACAATTCTGACATCCATGGCTGATCCTTAAAGGTGTAGAATTTTGTGAATGTTTGATATTAAAGTAATTGATACCTTGATTAAATGATGTGATAAAATTCTTGGTCTACATGTAGATATATCTGATAACTGAGTAATGAAAGAATATTGTCCATTAGTTACAGTAGCTTACTGTATCTTTTTCCTCAACAATTTACCTCTTTATTTATGCTTTATTTTCTGAAGACAAGTAGAGAACAAGAGTTTCTTTTTTAAAAAATAAGTAGAAAGAAATATTGTACTGAACTGAAGTGCATGTAAAGCTAGTTTCTAGAATTATGCTGAAATTAAGATCCTTGGTGCTTTATTTTAATAACACATTTTGTAGATAATGATTTATTTTGAAACAAAAGAGAATGACCAGAATAAGATTTTCTACTCACTGTTTGAGAACTATTTTCTATACTTTTGGATGGACTTGGTACTCAACAAGTGTACAGTGTATGTTATGATCATGATTATTTTCACTGTTTGAGATTTACTTTGTTCTCTTTCTAATAGCGTTGCTCATGTTTTTTTTCACATGTGTTGTACCTAGTACAATAGGTTTAAGAATCTATTTGCAATAGGCAATATTAAGCCCATTTGGGCTCTTGTTTATACACTAATAGTTTTGATTTTAGTATTTATGGTCATTATTATGTGATGTAATAATTGAAATTAAGATTATGTGACAAGGCAAGTCAAAACTGTCATCTCCAATATTACGTAATGAGTATCAGTCATGGGTCATTAGGGACTCCAAATGTCCAGTTATAACGCAAGTATAGTCATTGGTCTCCGTTATCAGTATTATAGTGAAGGTGTAGGATTAAAGTGTTTTATTTAGTGTAAAGGTCTAATCCTAAACACACACCAGTCATTGAAATAGTTTGTTAGATCTGTTATGGGTGGAGGGTGAGTTGATACTATGACCTTTATCTATATGGTCAACTGTATACAGGCTTGTTTATATACATTTATATACTAGTTTCTATACTCAAGAGTATCCATTAACAACTCATGAATATTTACATATATTTTATTGATAGATACATGTATATAGATGTTGATACAGTGTTAAACTATAAAAAAACCGTGAATTATGGCCCACCGGATGTATTTTAAACTAAAATATTTGGTCATTTTGTTATGGAATAGGAGCAGATTATTTAAACAGTGATAGTTTTTCTCTAGCATTGTAAACATAAGCATAGGTAATATGACCTAGGTATAATGTTAATGAGACCTTCAGGGTATCCTTGTAGGCCATTAAAATTTTTCAGAATAACGCACCATATAATTGGTAATTCTAATTGGTGAAGATTTTGTTCTCCATTTGGGTTCTTGATGATATTTTGTAACATAGCTGACAGTATGATATTCTTTCTTTCTACATCTTTTTAAAATATATCTGTATGTATTTTTAACAGCAATCATAAACAAGTGTCTGTGAAGTGTTGTAAAGCAGACTAAAGGGAGAAAACTCCTTTTATTGTTGTTATTATTCCTGGATAAGAATGGGCTGTGGTGTAAAGAATATGAATTTTATACTTTTATAATGTTTATTTACAGGATGTGAAGCTCAACCTGATGTAAATTTAACAGCTAAAAAATATGGTATTAAAATGTTTGTACCTGATGCTGATGGCATGACAGAAATATGTTTAAGATTCGACTCAGTAAGTTTTGTTTCCTCCATTATTTAACATAATGTGTTATTAAATGTGTTTGTACAGGTAATTACAAAGATTATTTATTTATTTAATTGATTAAATATAATTGAAAATTTGTTCAATAACACCAAGAAATTCTGAGTCTTGAAATATTGTTTCCGTGGACATTTATTTGTATTTATTTTTTAGGAAGAACAATATTGTCGATGGATGGCAGCCAGTAAATTATCATCTAAAGGAAAGACAATGGCTGATAGTTCTTATAGTGCTGAAGTTCAAGCCTTACAGACGTTCCTTAGTATGCAACATACAGCTCCTACACCCTCTATAAATACTAGTAATGTTGATATACAAGCAGAAGATTTCGTAGCTCCTAGATTCTATAAGAAAGTTAAATCCAAAACAGTATGTATTAAAATTTTGTTTAAATCTAGCTCATTTTTAATTTGATTAATGTGTATACAACACTGACAACATAAGAAATATCAAAGCAAAATGTTAGTGAGCAGTAATAATATTGAATAATTATTATGCAAATATACAAAAGATGGAAGTTAAACCTATATAACAAGTATGAGCGTACTATGGACCAGGAAGCGAGTATGACGTCATCACAACCATCTTGAAATTGTGACGTTACATAAAAAAATCAATATCTGTTAAGTGTTAATCGATGCGAAATTGTACAAATAACAAGTATGCCCAGTTTCATGTCGATCGTCCTTGAATTGGCAAACACAAGTTGGGTAGCCCCTGATACTTATTTCCTGGTCCAAAAATCTAATAATCTTATGACACAGTCTTTTGTTTCCTGAATTTGAATTTTATTTATTACATAATTTTTCTTTTAATTGTTTTAGCTTGTACAGAAAATAATGGAAGCACATGCTAATGTCCGTGAGATGAGTTTAATGGACTCTAAATTAGCATTTATTAAAGCTTGGCAGTCATTACCAGAATATGGAATTACATATTTTGTAGTTAAAATGGCTAATGGTAAAAAAGAGGTTAGTATTAGGAATTGTTTTGATAAAAAAAAAACTACATAAACATGGTCTCTTTCTACTTATTGGTTTGCCACTGGTGAATCTTTTGGATATACCGTCTAGACAATTTCTAATGAAAGTTGGAAATCCAAATAAGAATATGCTTTCTAGGTAAAACTTCCATCATAGCACTCTGCTCAGTGTATGCATGTCTTCATTAGGCTGGTTGTTAGAGAAAAGTTAGAGAGATGTTAAACACCATTTCATTTCATTTCTCTAACAATAAATATTTAAGTTCATGGGAATTTAATTGTGTCACAAAGAATCTTACATTTTTTTTTCTTTTTTTTTTTCCAGGAATTATTAGGAGTAGCAAGTAACAGAATAATTCGCATGGATTTACAAACGGGTGATTCAATCAAAACATGGCGCTATAACACTTTACAGTCTTGGCACGTAAACTGGGAAGTAGAAAATATGATTCTAGAATTCGAGGAGGAACGAGTTACATTCGCTTGTCTGGGAGCTCCGTGCAAAGTAGTACACGAATTCATTGGTGGTTATATATTCCTTTCAATGAGGTCACAGGACAAGAACCAGTCACTGAATGAAGAGATGTTTCACAAATTAACAGGAGGCTGGTCCTGAGGATAGTATAGGCCAATCAAATTCTCTGTTGCAAGATCAGTGCCTATTTATATGGAGTATGTTGCCATAGTGACTGTCCGTCAAAAGTTTTACTGCTGTTGACCTATGTAGATCTTTGTTTGGTACCAACTATTTAATTTCTAGTTTTAAAAGGTTTATCATATTGTTATTGCTATTTGCAAGTGTTTATAGTGTTATGTTATTTAAAAACCAGAGAAAAATACAGAAATAAATAAAAAGACTTTTTGTTGAAGTGTAGCAATGGAAGACCACGATTGGTTATAGGAGTAGAATGTAGAAAGATTGACTAGACACTTGTGTTAAAAAACAGTGAATAAACTATCAAGTGAAAGTTTTTTTTGGACAGTGTTGGAACTATAGTCTAATAACGGACTAAAAACACTGATTTCTAGTGCTTTATTGATATTTAACATGTGACAGTGAGTGATTTTTTTTTGGTAATATTTAGAAGAGTTACCTCTCTTAGATAGGAGGGGGGAAATTATATGTCAATATTGATAATGAAATAACAACATTAGTTATTTTATTTTACATATAAATGAAGGTTAATTAATACAACTTATATATGTCCTGTATTCAAATATTTAATGAAATCTTTGTTTTATTATTATTATTTTGATTTGATAAAATATGAATGTTCGAAATTATTTTAAGTTTGAATTTGTTTTATAATGCATGAGTAGATTTATAGACCATCATTTAGTTCATTTAAATGTATTTATTATAAATTATCATTCATGTTGGTGACTGATCATTCTTCAAATTTCTATCAGTGTCGATTAATACATTTTCTACATTGGTAAAAAAATAATAATCGAAAAGATAGAATGTCTTTTTATATGAGCTGATTAAATCTGGTTTGCGCACAATTTTTATAATCTTAAAATATGCAGAAACCTGTGTTTTAAAACCGCTAAATTTTATTATGCTGAAAAGTGCTCATGTGATAACCAACATCTGTGAAACCATGTATTTCATCTGTACATGTAAATCATGAAACCAAGTGAAGACCTTCATAAAAAAAAAAAAAAATACCAAAGATTTTTTTTTTACTTTTTAACTTACCACTGCACAGTTTCACCTTTTGGCAATATGTGTTGTTTTGAAAATATCTATTTATGCTTTGGTCACCCAACATTTAGATCTACCTAGATTTGAAACAAATTTCTTTTTTATTTCTGAACTTAGTGTGTATATGTTTCAATCTGTATTTTATATCCAAGCCTTTGTTCTTTTATTTTCTATAAGCACATTGGAAAAAAAATTGTAATGCTGACTAATCACAAGCTTTTGGTATGGTCATGTTTTCATTAAATGTGATAAACTTATGACATATAGGTAATAGATAAATATATCATGACAACCGGTTTCTTACTGGTCATTATATTTTATAATAATGATTTATGGAGCAATGAAAGAAGTTGGACAGTTGTCTACACTTATATTAGCTGGCCTGATAACTAGATTTGTGAAAACATTTAAGGAATGCTTCATAGCATTACACGACCTCAGAATGGTTAATTTCGGTCCCAGGTTTTGTGTGAGCTGTAAACTCCCATGCCTCATTCGCAAAACTAGTGTTAGAAAACTGACTAGTTTCTGTTATTGATACCAGACATTGTTAAAAGTGCGGTATTGTTTATAGAATTGTATATGAATAGTAATATTAATTGCAAGAAAGAGAAGCGCACTATGTTAATAACCCATGGATACAGTTATACATGTAATATATAAATTGTATTTGTCAACCTAATGGTGCTGTAAGTATATTGTTGTTACATAAATAAAATAATATATTATTAACATGTATATAGATCGACTATATGTAGGTAATATGTACAGAAGTAGGTATTATATCTTTACTCTTCTATCTTTCATTTTAATCCTCCAGTCTTATTTACTAAAACCTCAAAACTTATTGAGTTGTACGTTATAATTATATCGGCCATTATGATACACAGTTACAAAATATATTGAGATATCCAGAATATATATACAATCACTTACAGTATAAGAAATTTCTACATAAATTGTATATGATTGTATTCTCAGATAGTACCTCCATATGGCAAAAATTTCCTTTTAGTTCAATAAATATATATGTCAAAGTATACTGTATACATATATTCATAATTCTATATATTTAATATTTACAGTACATATTTAGGGAAAACTCCGGTGCAATTCATATGATAGACATTGATGCATAGATATCTTACTTATACTGTAGCCTATATCAACAACATTAAAATTATTATTATTAAATATTTATCTTCTCTCCAAAGCTCATGCATCCAACATTATAATTTAAATATTTGTCATAGAAATGATTAATACATCTCATCAATGTTCAAGGAAATTAGCATTTAAAAAAACAAAACAATATCAGGCAACCAGTTGTATTCAATTATTGCTCTTCAAAACTTGTTCATTTGTCAAATAATGTAGAAATCACACATTTCATATTTTTAGCTATATAGATTTAGATACCATAATTTCATTAACTACCTCTTATTTTTAGCTTTCATTTTGAGTTTTGATTTATGAAATGATCAAATTATGTAGTCGTTAATTACGTATTGGAATATGCATAATGATTTGGATTTTTTTTTTATTGTCATCAGAAAAAAAGTAGTAAATTATAAAATACTTTTTGGAGTGACAGAAGGAATTGAAATACTATGTATGTATATGAAATCATTCAGAAAAATAATTAAATTATTTATTAAAAATTGATATTAGATTCTGCATGTCTCTGGTTTAAATATACATTTGTTTAATATTTAGGAAAACTGTGGAATATCCTTTACTTATATAACTGTACATGTATAAACTTTTTATATTAACTTTGCCTTGGAAACTAATTAATAATGCAGATCATTATGCTGTATGTATAAGATTGTTGTATAGGCTAGACTCTATATGTGCCATTGTTTTATTATTTTTTAGACATAAAAAGCTTAAAGAAAATTTTGAGTGTACAGTACTATGTTTTTATGTTAATATTATTAATATCTGTGATTATAAAGCGTACAGATATCTTGCTGATGGTATAGTGTCTTCCTACTGTATTAAAACCTACTTATTACACTACTTTATTCTCGCATTGTCTATTTTATTTCAAATATTAGGATTAAAATTTGCTCTTTTTTGTAAAGTAAGCTGTCTTGGGGAATATTATAAAAAAAAACTTAGTCGTCAATATTCCATGCGCCCCTTTGACGTTTCAGAAAGTACAGGGATAGACAATCTATGTATAGCATCAGGCATCCTAATGATAGTGCCTAATACCATTTATTATAATGCCATCAAACTATTGGAATAATAATCATATAAACATGCTTGGCTTTCTTTTGGCATATCATACCAGGTTATCTGTAGAAGTCATAGCTCACTCCAGAATAATTATGTTGAGCAAAAAGTAAACTGAGAATTGAATGGTTATAAGGACTATGGAGGGTAGCTACAAATGTCTGGCAGTGGTCATTCATGATTCCTGTGGTGGTACTGAACAACTCCAAAGCTGTTTTAGGTGGTACATATTTCAGCTAATCTAGCCTAACTGCGGTCTGGAAATTAGAAAACTCTTGTCAGGGATACTCTACCACTACAAATGTCTGACAATTACATAGCTCTGTCAGGGGTAACCCACCACTAGAAATGTCTGTTAGTTAGAGTGTTTTTGTAACACCTGAAGATGTACGGTACACTGCTGTACGATTTTCATGTGGTACACTTTTGAGTTAATCTAGCCTAGTTGGGGGGCATGGCATTTTGGGCGTGGAATACCACACCCACCACCAGAAACCCGGCAGACTTACTTTCTGATGATACCAGATATACATGCGTTGATACCATATAGGAGAAAATTGGTACACTTTTCAGCTAGGTTAACCCCCTGGGCTCCTGCTCTACATACTCAAGTCAATCAATATTTGAATTTGTGGAAGTTTAACATTTGAAACTAAATTATTATGGATTTTCCCATTTCTTTTTAAGTTATCAATATTGGTATCACTAAAAAGTTTTAAGTTTATATTTAATGACATCAATAGCTGCTGGTTTTAAAAGCAACAAAGGAAAAAGCCAGAGAACAAAGAAATCCTAAAAAGATGCAATGCTTTTTAAGAAAGTATTCCGCAATTGACCAAAGCCAATGTTGACAAGCAAGGTCAAAATGTGAACTGAAGCCAGATTTTTAATGTCTACTAGTCTATACAACATGGGTATCCCTTTCTAAATATGGGAGCTGCGGTGACTCGCTGACCTGGAGGTTCGATCATGTAGTTGGCCAAGAAAGTTCATCAGGGTTTTCTGTCCTGGTTCAGTAATGCAAGACAGATGCCTGACCAAAGACAATGTATAGTCGTTCGGATGTGACGAAAAATGAAGGTCTAATGTACACATTGGCGTGCACGTAAAAGAACCCTTGGCAGTTGGAATGTGATGCAAGATTAGGCTGTAGCAAACCAATAGGACATTAAACCCCATTTCATTTCTTTCCAAATATGAATCTTTAGCTCCAACAAATTTTAGAATTCAATAGAAATAATAATACCCCTTTAAATATTGTACTCAGTGTACTACTCTATAAAGCAAAAATAAATATCCCAGGTACTGGAAAATAATTACACTTTTAGTCCCATTATGTACATATTTAATAAGAAACACATCATCTTATACATTTAAATAAGCAACAAAATATAGATTTGATCTAACTATAGGTATATTTAAATCATATAAAATATAATATCATTATAATATTTTAATAGTAATTGCAGGAGAACTGCACCACACATAAAATCTGAATAGAAACCGGGATGACTAACTAACAAATAAGAAACATAAAACACTGACATTGGGACTTGGAAGTAATAAATAATGGAAGTTCTATCACTTCTAGTTTATATCATGATTAGTTGTCTTTAAAAGAAGAATATATGATAAAGACTGATACCAATATTGTCCTTCAACTGATATAAAATTAACAGTGAGTATTCTAAACATTTCAATTTAGGATAATACAATGCAATAAAATAACAAATCAAGAACTAACAAGGGGCAGATTTCATTAAAAAATTACATAATACCATTTTAGTAAAAAGAAAAATTTTATAATGCTATTTTAGTAAAAAGAAAACAAAACAAGAACAAAAACAAAAACATTGGCACCACGAATTTTAAATTTTGTTTTTAATAATCATTAGATGTACATAGTTACTAAACCATATCTAAAATATATTCTATATAAAAAGATTTCTAACAATATATATTGAATAAAACTGGGACATACACCTATTTCATCTTGCAGATGCATGGGCAACGTTTTAGGTGAAATTTCCAAAACTTTGACAAAAAAAAACCCCTAACTTTTATTGACAACACAGACCATACATATAATCTTAATTGTATCAATATTTTTATTACATTTTTTCAATTTTACTTCTTGATTAGGACTAATATTTTCCATCAGACTTACTATTTATTAAGTACCGGTATATCACTGAATTCACAGTAGTTGTAAAATATGAGATCACAGATCAACTAAATGTTTTTTCCATTATATCTTTTACTTCTCTTTGATGTAATTCACCAATACCTACAGCAGATGTACTCAATACATCTCTCCCAGAATATCTCAACTGTAAGACATTAAATAATTATCATACACTCAACATAGCTATTTTACAACAGTCAACAAATAAAATACACTTTTATTTTAGTTTCCCTCAATTTCAACTAGCCTATATTTCAGACTTTTAGCTGACTAAAATTCTATACATTGTAATCAAGAAAAGAAGGCAATACAGAAGAATATTTTGTCCATTTTTGAGATTTAATTAAATTGTCCTTTGCAGTAATGGAGAATCAATATGATTTACCTTACAACCAACTACATTTTCAAATCTTGGTGCCACAAAAGACCAAGCTCCCATATTTCTATGTTCTTCTTGACTCCATATAAAATCTAGTATTAGAATTAAAAATGTCTTTTTTACTACTATCTGTTGTATTTGATTTACAAATGATGAAATTTTATATACATATTTCATGATAGAACTAGGAACAGAAATCTTAGATATTTAATCGAAAGAATATAATGGTGTTTAAATTATTGAATAGCTGCAAACTGTTTTAGGCATCTTACTTCTCTCTTTTTTTTCAAAAAAAAAAGAAATAGACAAAGGATATTTGAATATCTGTTTCAAGAAATAAAGTAATTGAAGCAGAAATATGTGTATGGACTAAAAACTATTTGGAGCATTTTTACTAGTTTAATTTTTTGTGCTTATTGTGAGTGAGCATGCTTGAGGCAATTTCAAAGAAAAACAGACACAGTGTTATGTAAATTATATAGACATGTAGGCCTACTTTATTACTCTAAGATGAGATAATAATACTGTAATGTAAAAACATACAATGTAAGTAATTTCAATTTATCACCTTTTAACTGCAAATTAACATGCATAAAAAGTTGGATGTACGCCCTGGGTATTCACTTGACCCATTGTCATCAATATTATTAAAAAATTAAGTAGCCCTACCATATAAATATACACTACCTTTTTTTTATTTACTAAAAAAAATTTAGATCTATTTAGCCACGAAAACTATATTGTTTATTACAATTTGAACTTCCAATACATTAATTATGATATTCGATTTAATTAGATTATCTACTTATGATGGAGGCATAAGCATAAAAAAAGTTTGTGTTATTCTATCGGCTGTGTGTGTGTTTTTATAGCTACGGGTCCGATAAGTTATTCATTTACCCTTTGTAAACTAGTTTTTCTCATTCAAGTGTATGCATTCTTAAAAATGAATTTTACAATTCAAGAATACTCATTTAAATTATAAAACATCAGTGCTGTCTCAAAATAGTAAGTGCAGGGGGGCTGCACCACACAAAATTTACACAAAAACAAATACACAGACAGGACATCATACTCAGGAAAACACAAACATACAGACAATTAAAAAAAAAGTGAATGGATAAAGGTGTCCATTAATGAAGTCAAATAGCGATTTTTCGGATCATGGCGGTACTCTCAATATAGTTGGCATTATTCACATTCCTGCTTTATTAAAATTTATTTCAATCACAAAATCAATGATTCCTTTGAAAAATCAAAGTATCAATATAAACTATTCATCAAGAAAAATAGAAATAGAACAAAAGCAGGGATAATTCTAACAGTACAGGTCGGTTGGAAAATTGATCGAGAAATCACGTAATGTAAACAAAGCTACATGACAGTATTTATTCATCATTAAACAAAAACCGAAATATTACCCAGCTCTACTTAATCATTATTAATTTCTTTGTTTAAATTAACACACAATGAGAAATTCCATTGTTTAAAAAATGAGACCAACAAAGAAAGATTAGAGGCTTGTGAAATGGAGGCGATGAAATCAATCAACCTCAACTGTTTGATTGCTTTGATCTCGGTCGTTAGATTGACTAATACTAATCCCAATCAATGGTCGTTATCGTGAGTCACAAAAACAAAGAAATTTGACTGATTGGGACTGGCTTCGGTGGCCGTAATCTGTACTAGTCAGGTGCCCCTATTACTGAGTACAATTTATAAGGAATATAGAAGAAAAAAAATTGGTTCTTTTAACTTACCTTTGGCTTTAGAATATTTGCTCAACTCAGCTTGAATTTCTGCTGCCGGGAAAGGACAAAGACTCTGAAAAACATGGATATAATTATCATATTATGTATATACAGATGCTTACCCAAGATTTAGCTTGAAATGAAATGGGGCTTAACGTCCTACTGTTCTGCTCAAACTGGACTAATAAAGACAGGCATACACCATACAGTGTGCTATGAGGGAAATTTTGCCTGGACAACGGCACTACGGCCTACTCTAATATCGATTTCCAACTGTCAAGTGATCTTTTATGTTCGTGGCAATGTGTACACAGGACCTTGGTTTTTTGTCCCGTCGAACGCCTAGACAGCTGTCCTGGTCAGGTCCCCACGTCCTGCACCACGCCGGAAAATGCTAATGATATTTCTTGGCCAACACTAGGAACAAACCTGAGCCAATGCCTTACTGAGCCACCGTGGTTCCCTGTAGTTGGGTGAGAGTGATGAAACTCTTATATTAAATTTCAACTGCCACGGGATTTTTTACGTGCACGCCAATCTGTACATGGGACCTTTGTGGTTTGTTCCAACCAAACAACTATACATTGTCCCTTGCCAGGGCATCTGTCCTGCACCACTGACAAGGGGGAACCACGCCAAAAAATCCAGATCAACTTTCTCGACCAACGCAAGGATCGGGACCTCCAGGTTAGCGATCCAACGTCTTACTCACTGAACCACTGTTGTTCCCAAGATCTTAGGGGATGACACTATTTAATGTGGTTAAAAACAAAGTCATGGGTGTCCCAAACTATATTTTAGAGCATCAAACATTTTGTAATTGTAAAAGCTTACTAGTCAGAAAACACAACTACACAAATGTGGATGTATAAAAACTTACTTCAAGTCTGATGAATACTGTATTATTTATATTTCTACTTTCTCTTTCTTTGACTAGATTATAATAATGTTTTCCTGAACAAAATATGACCCTTTCTACCGCATCTGGTTTAATACTAGTACTATCTCCAAGAACTGTTTGGAATTCTGTGCCTGGTCCCATTGTGGAAAGATCTGAAGCTGCTGCCGGAAGACGAAGAATAACTTTTGGTGCTGCTATAATCAGAGGTTTCCGGTAGTTTCTTACCATCTAAAAAATAAATTTTTCTTCTTCTATAATTTCATTTTTATTAAACTGTGTCTGTCCCATTAGTTATTGATTCTTTGCCGATATTGTCCTTATTTAATTGGATAATTGCCAGAAATTTCTCTTAAGCTAATTTAAGCAACAAAACCCCAATAAACCTTACTATCGACATCAAGTCATGTGCTGGATATAACTTTTAAGCTGTGTTGATAGACTTCATCAACTAATATTGAATGATTTAAAGGTATACCTGTCTTCGTAAAAGATGGAAATATTGAGCTGATGTAGTGGGGTGTACAACTTGTATATTAACATCATCACTATCAATACCATCTTCTTTACTATCAGATAACTACAATATAAAACCAGCTTTACTACATGTATCAGAGAACTACAGTCTTTACTATCAATTAGGGGGATCACGGTGGCTAAGTGGCTAAGATGCTGGCTCACTAGCCTGGAGATCGGGTGTTCAATCCCTGCATTGGCCGAGAAAGTTCATCTAGATTTTCCAGCGTGGTTCCCCCTTGCGTGATGCAGGACGAAGGCCCTGACAAGAACAGCTGTCTAGTCGTTTGGAAGGGACGAAAAATCAAGGTCTCGTTTACACATTGGCGTGAACGCAAAAGATCCCTTGACAGTTGGAATTCGATATAAGAGTAAGCCATAGTGCCGCTGTCCAGACAAAATTTCCCTCATAGCACACTGTATGGTGTATGCTCGTCTTCATTAGCCCAGTTTGGAGTAGAACAGTAGGACGTTAAACCGCATTTCATTTCATTTATTTACTATCAAATAACTACAAAATAAAAACTTCTTTACTATCAAATAACTACAATATAAAAACAGCTTTACTATCACATAACTACAATATAAAAACAGCTTTACTATCTTGAGCACTTTGCACATTACTAACATTTCATTCTTCGGCAATTTATAACAACAATAAATCTTATATCTATATTTGAATAGATTATTGAGAAGAATTTAAAATATAAAGATTAAATGGTACCTGAAGAAATCTTTCTATACGTGCATTAGAATGTTCTGGTCCAGCTCCATCCATACCATGTGGTAATAACATAACTATACCGCTCTGTAATAACCATTTAGCTGTAAAACAAAACTTTAAAATTTAAAATTCTCATCAACTTGACTATTTAACCATTAGGTCATCTGATAGTTTGCCTTTCACTGATTGCATAATATGATCTGTTACAAGTTTCAGTGGTGTAAACTGGTGCCTTTAAAACTGACATTATGTTAAACAACTTTATGTTAACTTGTAAAAGTGAGATGCAGTTTGTTGGATGAAACAATTAAAAAAAATGTACAGTATTTTTGGGTTCCCTTATAACTCATCGGTCAACAATCATATGTGGCAAGCTCTGGCTAAATGAATCATAAAACATAAAAAAAATGTTCCATCAATTCTGTCTTCAAAAAGACCTTATATTTAAATCTCCAATGCTCAAATGACAAACACAAATGCACAAACTTTGCTGTTTTGGTTGCTATGAACTTACGGTATATGGACTTGTGTTTTGGTTGCTATAAACTTACAAGTTTATATGTAGTCTGGCTTTGTTTAAGTAAATATCAGGTCATTTTTTTTAGAAATTAATACCATGGTGTATACCAACATCTAGGCTAAATATCTCAGCCATTTTCTAAGATGAATGTATATATCACAATACATTTTAAAGCCCTTTAAATAAACAATTTAAATTAATGAATAGCTGTTTTTTGATGTTTGACCCATATGTCTCTCATTTAGTCCTTTGAAGCAGATCCATGATTGTATCTTATACCTGATTTAACTACAGTTACAGGAGGATCGCACTACATGCAAAACAATAATAACATGTACTTACTTTCACCACTGGTAATATAAGTATCTATTATGGACTGTGCACCATTAAAAAAATCACCAAATTGGGCTTCCCATATAATTAAATTGTTTGGACTTTCTAAACTCATGCCATATTCAAAACCTAGTACAGCCTCTTCTGATAAAGCACTGTTTGCTACCTAAAATATTAGATACATCATGTTTATATATTATTCATTTGAAATACAGGAATCGATGCATAGACTGGACATATACCTCATTAAAGTTGAAATTTCATATTTTTAAGTTATATTTTTAAAATTTATTAAAATAAAGCCTTAAAATAGATGGTATCTATAAACAGTCCTACTTTGTTAAAGAATAATCCTATTAATCCTACAATTCACTTTTGCCAGTTGAGCAATTGGCAAAAATATCATTTTCAACTTCAAATTCAAATGTTTGAAGATAGCTATTCCATGGGGGGGGGGGGGGGGAATAGAAAAACAAGGGAGGTAATTGTGTTATTATTTCCGGGGTCAAAGGATTTTTAAGTGGGAGAATAATACCTATGATCGTATAATAGTGAGTTGACAACCTATTGAGCAAAAGACATAGAAATAATTATGTTTTGACTTTCTTAGAAAATATGAAGTTATCACTTTAACACGGCTCAGTAAGGTGCTAGTTGACTAGTCTGGGGGTCCCTGGGTTTGATCCTGGTGTTGGCAGAGAAAGTTCTTCTGGACTGTCCGACCTGATTTCTTTTTGTCAGTGCCTGGTAAAAAACAGTATCTAATCAATTGAATGGGACGAAAAAGTCGAAAATGAAATGAAATGGGACTGAACGTCCTACTATTCTGCTCCAACTGAGCTAATGAAGATGGGCATATGCCATACAGTGCTCTATAGGTGAAATTTTGCCTGGACAGCAGTGCTACTCTTATAGTCCACTCTTATATCGAATTCCAACTGTACACAGGACATCAGTTTTTCGTCCCATCCAAAAGACTAAACGTTGTCCCTTGTCACCACTGACATGGAGGGAACATGACGGAAAATCCTGATGAACTTTCTCGGCCAATGCAGGGATCGAACACGGGACCTCCGGGTTAGCGAGCCAACGTTGTACCCACTGAGCCACCCCAAAAAAGTCTAGATCCCATGTATGTACATCTTGGTGTGCATGTAAAAGAACACAGATCAGTTGGAAAATGCAATTGAGTAGGCTATAATGCCACTGTCTGGGCAAATTTCTCTCATAGCACTCTCCATGGCATAATATGTCCATCTTCAGTAGCAAACCCCCAGCCTCCAGACTAGCGAGCAAGCATCTTACTCACTGAGCCATCGTTTCTCCCTTACCTCAAAGAAAGCTTGTTGTGTATCACTAATATTGTTTAAAGGTATATACATATCATCTGTTTGTTGATCTATAACCATAGCATGACGATGACTAAATGTACCTCTACCTACATCTTGTCCACATATACGTACATTAAAACCTTTAATACATAATATACTATATCACATCATATTAACATATAAACCTTTAAACATATATTATGCAAGACCTACATCTGCCTATCGCAGGTCTTTCTTTAGGCCTGAAATGTTATCTAAATTATTAATAGACATTAATTTACTTATCCACCCCATAATCAACTCTCGATGCCATCGCTAGCCTGCGATATTTAGCGGATTGAAATACATTTTTTCAAAAATAATTTAAATGTAAAAATGGATAATCGAGACTTGGATTTTCATCATACCGACTTAAGTAATGGTGATCGGGGCTAGCCTCACATTCAAAAGCTAATATCTTGGTTCATAGAGGAGCAATTTGACTGAAATTTTCAGCATATTCTATTTACGTTATGTTTTTTTTTAAACTATTATAGCGGGAACCGTTAACTCTTTATCTAATCTCCCATAATACCCCTTTAATACATAAAATATCTCACTAGGAATTGGTTATTGTCTAGAATCTAATACACATGTTCAGTTAATAGATCACCATCAAAAAAGTCATAAAACCTGTCTAGAAGCAACAAAATACGTCTGGTTTGTGCTATTGTCCAGTCTACCGCAAGTCTTTTAGATTTGATATCAGTCAGCTAGTTTACCAGCCTTTGGTTTCTCTGGTTGAATTGAGAAAAGACTATGTCTAGAAAAGGATGGGATTTCTTAATTACGTAAGGAGCTTTGGTTTCATGTCAAATTAATACTTTGTTGAGTTCCATCCGGAAACTTAGAGGGGTACAGTAATGCAATGGTGGTCAACATTCATGGCATTTATACAGTTTGCCAAATGGTTTCTAGAGATCTGAAGTGTTTGTTTAATATGTGAAATATTTAGTTCCTATATTGCCTTATTTTAGAAACTATATTTTCAGATTTAGAATCTGGGTCTGGCGGCTAAATTCTTGAATGAAGTGAATATTTATTGAATACTGTCCAGTTCTTGTTTCAGCTTCAAGTTTATTTTATTGACGAAAAAAGTATGTATAATCTATTATAGCCTAGAGAAATATTTCAAAACAAGTAATGAAAGTTAGCACGTAATCATGCTTTAAAACTACTTCCATATTTAAAATATACAATACCTTGATAAAGTAATGAACCAATAGATAGGGCTTCTGCTGTTGCCCAGTCTAATTCTTTCCCTTCCATCAATTTTTGTTTCCGTCTGTCTAAATGTGTTTTTTGTATGGTTGAGTGACTTTTCTAAAAGAGAACAATTTTCCATATTATTAAAATTAATTCACAAAATAATACTTAACAAGATGATAGTTACCAAAGTTATCAAATCAAATAATCTTTCATCTTACATTATCAGACTACAACTAAAAATAACTACTCACAATATGTTATATTTTATCTTACATTATCAGACTATAACTAAAAATAACTACTCACAAAATGTTATATTTTATCTTACATTATCAGACTATAAGTAAAATAACTACTCAGAATATGTTATATCATATCTTGAAAGATTATTATAAAACAATGCTTATATAACATTTACCCTTCTTCATTGGCCCAGAGGGTACAGAAAAGTTGGACTTTAATCCTCATTTCATTCAAACAACATTCATGTTATTTCCTCCATTAAACAGTGCATACTGATCTTCTAGTAAAGGGATTAAAATAGTTCTTGTGTTATTTTGTACATGATAAAAACTGGAGCATGTTAGACAGTCAAGAATCCAAATCTTCCTCCTTTACAAACAAGCCTGGATATAACCACATTTTATTCAATTGTTTTTATCCTATATACTTACCCATGTTTCAGGAATTTCCACTGATTTAGCACCAATAAATTTAAGTGTATCTATATCAACACCTGTATCCCATCTAGAAATAACATCACCAGCTTGTTGTATATTACTCCATTGTTTTAATAGATGAAATGGCTGAAAATAATTGGAAATGAATTCATTACGCAAAGCATTATCAATGATTTTCAAGTTATATTAGGCATGATTCAATAATTCTTGCTTTAATCAGGCCGCCCCTGACATATTCTAAGTTGATCAATATCCAAAGTGATTTAAGCAGTGTTCACATGATCATGCCTAATTACTGGAATACCTTTATTTATGATTAACTAGCAGGATACCTGGCTTCACTCGGGGGTCATAACTCCGAAACCGGAAGCGGTAGACTAACGCCACCTGGCCTATGTTACTCCCCGGTCCGAGCTACCTCTATACCCCAAATTTCAGACTCGGGGCAGACCTAGTGTAGCCGCCAACCCCGAACAGACAGACAGACAAACGACAGTCACAAATATATATATAGATAAGGTAGTTTAAAGATATCTATAGTTACCTGTATAACATATGAATCTACTTTACTTATATCTGATTGTAATACTGTATTCCATTCTTTAACTGTATCATCTAATATAGACATCTCACATATACCTTCACTCTATAATAATAACATATCTAATATAGACATATCATATAATCCTTCACTCTATAATAATAACACATCTAATATAGATATATCAGATATACCTTCACTTTAAAACAATAACACATCTTATCATATCACATATACCTTCACTCTATGCTTAGAGCACACAGCCTCACTGACGGATGCTTATTCACTTATACCTTCAAAATTAAATGAAGTAAAATAACTTACAACAATTTTTTCAGCATATAAATCTGGTATACTCTTCCTGGAGTTAATCGCCTGGTACATCAGAGGATTAGTAAAGGCTGGATCATCCAGTTCATTATGACCATATTTACGATAACACATCAAATCTATTATTATATCTTTACGGAACTTCTGTCTGTATTTCATTGCTATTGATGTAGCTCTTATAACATCCTGTAATATATAAATAATACAGGCAAATCACTACAAGGGTTTGCCAGGTCTCCTAACTTGACTGTCAGCAGCAAAATCTTGCTGTAAAAAAATGTCAACAAACCCACTATGTCCTGATACCATCAAACAACAGGTAAATTTGAGTGGATGTCTCAGGGATCATTAAGTCATACTGGAGGTGAAAGGTACAAAGCCATATAGCAGAAATCAACAACATCTGTCTGAGCAAAATCTTTCTAAATTTATTGCGTTTTTTCTTTCTGCATCCTACAGAACATTTCTTATTTAATATTTTGTTTTGATAAAGATATGCTATATTAGATAATGTTATTAAAGGAGAATTATTTTTGATTAACCTACCTCAGGATAATCAGAGTTCACGTGTAGAACAGGAATAGAGTTAATTTTACCTATATCACTACTGTACGTTGATGACCTAAAACATTATATACCCAAATTAGTCATAGATAAATATTCAAATTTTAATGCCAGCCTTTCTTCTGAGCTGTCTGTCAAGTAACTTACTGCTAATTTTTAAAACAGCCAGAAAATAAAAATTTTCAAGTATATTAATGTTGCATCTAAAAGAATAAGTCTATCATATAATGATCCTGGATGCCTGAAGAGAAACTTTTTTTCCTGCCTGTATAAACAAAACCAAGTGCTCATATGGCATATGTGTTGCTTCATACACAGCGAATGACAGTTTCCTTCATTAAGTCACGTCCGGTGTGGTAAATGTCCTTCAGTTTTAGAATCGTTGGAACTACTAAGAAAATGAATAAAATATAAAGAATCTGCAATGACTGTTGCTTTAATATTGTTGAAGTAGCATAAACAAACCTGCCTTGTCTTGCTTCTGCAGTAAAACCTATTTGATTATTAACTATAAGATGAATTGATCCACCAACTGTAAAATGAGGACAATCAGCTATAATTAATGTTTCTGCTACAATACCCTTAAATATAATATAGATCATTTTATATTCAAGTTTTAAGAATGGCAAAAGGAAGGCATTTCTTGTGCTGAATGGCAAGCCCTTCCCTTTTACCTGTTCCATTGCCACACTAACCCATTTTACCAGAGTCATTTTAACCCTAACCCTTTTTACCTATTTCATTTTCACCTGTTAAATTACGGATATTGCAAGGGAATATGATATCTGTAGATATTTGGTAGACAGAATTTGGAATTTTACACTCGTCAACCACATAATATTTAGACATGACATGGAAAAAAATTAAAAATGTACCTGAGCACTGAAGGCAGCATCACCATGAACTTGTAAACAAAGAACTTTATCACCAACATGCGACTTGTCATCACAACTATATTCACCTTCTTGTAACATTTGTTGTTTAGCTCTAGCTTTACCAACAGCTACAGGATCATTGGCCTGGAGGGTATAATAATAAATAGGATATAGTAAGGATCGTTAACACATCGTTAAAATAACTGGACAAAAATATAAGATCTAAATAACCGAGAAAAATGAAGCAGGCAGAAGGAAAAAAACAAATATGAAAATATTTTAGTCCCCAATCAAACAGAAGTATATCAGGCTTAAGTGGAGCAAAACAGCAATTTATTACATAATGATTCAGGTCTTGTGAGCTATAATCAATTAATAAACTCAATTTTACCATATATACAACTATTGAGCAGAAGCTACAGTATTTTCATATAATAGTACTGATATATACTAAACTATACGAAAATTATAAGAAAAACAAATTAAACAACCAATTACAATTATAATTTTCAAAGATAAAAAAATATTCAAGTATCAATATTGTAAATGTAATATTATCATTAATATACATATGATTTGATATGATATAACATTTGTGTATATTATTAAATGTCCTCCCATAACAAAGATAACTCCTATTAAATTAAAAACTTCCTTTATCTAGCATCTAGCATAAAACCATTTTTCACTCAATAAAACCTACCTCTAGATGTGAAGGATTGGGCAAAAATGACACCTGAACATTTTTTCCTCCATATTCTAAGTCAATTGAAGTATCTATGAATGAATAAACCAATACAGGAGATACTTTCATTGAACAGTTTATATAAAACTAAAGATGTCTCACTCACTGAATTTGCACAGCTTGATTTAATCTTTATGTAACCTTAAGTATTTTAAAAGTCTAGTACAACTAGCAACTGAAATAAAATCTAAAATACCATTAAGTATTGTTTAATGGTCGAGAGCGAGACATTAAGTAATATATTATAACATATATTTTTACAATATATTACGCAATGTCGGAAGCTCGAGACCATTAAACATCTTAAAATACTGACACTCCGCACAAGCTTTTACGTCACACTAGTCCAATATCTCACTGGTATGAATAAAGTACTATTGGCAAGTTGCCCGTACGATTATTTGAAATAATGGTACGCCAACATCAAAGGGTGACGTCACATCTGTATTTTAAGTATATCTAAAGGTGTGAATTAAAAGTCTTTAATAAAGGGACTTACAAAGATGTGAGAGGACATCACCAGTTCCTTTAACATCAGGTGGGAATTCTGTTTTACCTTTCATCTGTAATTAGAAATATAAAAAAAATTATTAAAATATTTAAAAAATCTAAAAAGTAGGATAGAACAACCAATACTGATATTATTTGAAAAACTGGCCAGAAATTTGACTCCACTCATTTTTTTGTCATTCTTCAAACTCTTACCTCTTTAAGGTAAGTGCAGGCACTACTACTGTGAAGTCGGAACTATTAATAAAATCAAATATAAAGTTTACCTTTTGTAACATAATAACTGGAGGAAACTTTAACATACAGGTTAGAAAATTTAACCGACCTCTATGTGGCATACACATTACTACATTTGAGACATCATCTGAAATTTTCAAAAAATCACAATTTTAAAGCCAGAAGTAATATAACTTATATTGAAGTTGTAGGGAATTTTGGAAATCAGTGTTGTTTTGTTTTTATCAATGTACTTACATTCAGAACAACTGTGGAATATTTCATCAAAAACTCCCATCATGCTCTCTCCTCCTTCTCCGCCATATCTTTTAACTGTGGTGAATTTGTTAGCCAGAAAATGGTCAAATGTCTGAAATTTAATTGGTCATGACATATATTTCAGGTATAAAGCTGTACAACTTCTGCTGGTCTACATATAAATATATAAAGGGAGTATAAAAACATTTTTTTCAATAAATAAAACGCTTCTATTTGTTTTGGTTTTTTTATCCTTATGATCCAAATTACTGTAAATCATAAATTGATTCTAGGCCATGGAAGAGTTCATAAAAAAGAAATTGCAGGGGAGGTGACTGGAACTTGATTGGACTTTTGGCCTGGGGCCTGCTGCAGCGCCCGATTCTGTGGGCATGCTGATTTAAGAATTATGCTTAATAACCACTTAATTGATTTCACACCTGAGATTTCAGAAGAAGTTTTGCAAGATCAGTTTTTCTTTCATCACTAATTCCTATCTGTGATTTTTTCTCAAAGTTTTCAGCAAACCATTCTCTCTCTGTTTCAGACTGAAAAACACAAAGGCATGGATTGATTTTAATGAATTTAATAGCAGATTAATTAATACTGTTAACATGACATCTAGGGGATCACGTGGCTAAGTGGGTAAGACGCTGGCTCGCTAGCCTGGAGGTCGGGTGTTCGATCCCGGCATTGGCCGAGAAAGTTCATCCAGATTTTTCGGCGTGGTTTCCCCTTGTCATTGATGCAGGATGGAGGGCTTGACAAGGACAGCTGTCTAGTCATTCGGATGGGACGAAAGACCGAGGTCCCATGTACACATTGGCGTGTACGTAAAAGATCCCTTGGCAGTTGGAATTCGATATAAGAGCAGGCCCAGGCAACATTTCCCTCATAGCACACTGTATGGCGTATGCCCGTCTTCATTAGCCCAGGTTAGGAGCAGAACAGTAGGACGTTAAACCCTATTTTATTTCATTTCACATGACATCTAAATGGGCATTCCATAAAGTAGGCCTAAATTTCATTTTAAAATATTGTCTCTTTCAAAGTTATTGAAAAAGAATTGGTAATGAGGGCTATATTTACAGAGAGAGAGAAAGAGAGAAATTGTGGTTAACGTCCACTCTACACAAACATATGGTTTAATTTTATTTTATTAATTTGCTTGCACGTAGGGGTCTTTAGCAGCGGGAGGAAACCAGAGAACCTGGTGAAAACCCACGAGGTTGGACAGGCGACCCTACTCCTTGTCATGTACAACTGGGGATTCGAAACCATGTCAGTTGACTCAATGACATTCCTTATGATACAGCACGCACGTGCTAACCATTTGGCCATCCACCCCCCCACTATAATAATATAATGAACCATAAATGAAATGGGGCTTGATATTCAACTTTTCTGCACCAATGAATGTTGGGCAAAGAACATGCAGTGTACTTTAAGGGTTCTTTTACGTGCACGCCAATGTGACTAGACCAAGTTCCTTACCAGGCACTCCTTCCTACACTACTTACAATGGGGAAACCAGGATCTCCTGGTTAATGCATCAACGTGCGGCTTTTATGGAATAAGGATGGAAAACTTACAACTATTAAATATTAATGTCAGCATCATTACATCCAGTTATGATATCTGGCAATATTGCTTTAAAATTAATTCATGTATATTATACAAACTACCTACAACTAAATGATCAAATTCTGCTGCTATACCCTGACAATATTGCTCTTCTAGTTGTTGTACTAAGTCATCAATAGATATTTGTGATTGACTAGAATAGAATATACCAGCCGTATTAATCTGTTGATTTAAATCATTAGATAAACCATATCTCTCTAGTGATAACTCGGACGGATTCCTGAAAATATCACAATATAATCAACTTTTATAAGCGCACAAATGACAACATCTACCATTTTTTAGAATAATTTAAAATGAATTCTAGAAGTAATCTCTCTTTGACTGACATTTGGTAAATAACAGAGAAATTTATTGATTTTAATATTCCATTCTCTAACTGCTCCAACATCTTTGCGGTCCTCTTCATTCATGTAAACTTTTTGATTTTAGTGGCAATTATATCAACTCTTTTACAAGTTGAATTAATTTCAGGATGCATTAATTTCTTGTATTACAAAGTAGGCCACTACCTCCTAGTTTGAATTCCTAAAGGATCGAGGTCTGCTTTCAGATGACCAAACTTTCTATATGCTTGAACTAATTGATATATATTTCCATTTCTTATTCTGTTTTGCAAAGCATCTCCTTGAATAACTGAAATAGTTAATATAATTCACATAAATCCCCGATAACATGTGCATATACTTTGCATATCCTTAATGCACTTTCAAAACCTTAAAATTGTATCTCATATTTTTTAAAACCTATTTTATTTTAATCAAATCTATAGACTATACATATTCCCATAAAGCATGTTTATTTAGTCAACTGGCATTGGTCTATGTGGTGTTTGTATTTCTAAGTATTTGTGTTATCTCATCTTTATTACCTCATTAACATAATATGGTTTCACCAAATGGATCCTTTTTAAGGAATTCATAGTTAATATTATCCTTTGCCTGGAATGTAAGCCTATTATCTTGTTTTTGGGTTTTTGGGGTTTTTTTTTAATCTTTTACTTCTTTTATATTGTTATTGTTATCATGAACTCCTATATGTATATTAAACTCAAGTTTACTAAATGTCTCTTGTCTGCGCGGGAGCCACGGTTGCTAGGTGGTTAAGACGCTGGTTCGCTAGCCTGGAGGTCGGGTGTTCGATTCCCTGCATTGGCCGAGAAAGTTCATCCAGATTTTCCGATGTGGTTTCCACTTGTCAGTGGTGCAGAACGGAGGGCCTGACAAGGACAGCTGTTTAGTCCTTTGGATACGAAAAACCGAGGTATACATTGGAATGCACGTAAAAGATCCCTTGGCAGTTGGAATTCGATATAAGAGTAGGCGATAGTGCCGCTGCCCAGGCAAAATTTCCCTCATAGCACACTGTATGGCATATGCCCGTCTTCATTAGCCCAGTATACAGGAGCAGAACAGTAGGATGTTAAACCCCATTTCATTTCATTTTCTCTTGTCTGCGATATCACCTCGGTGGAAGCAGACGTAAAATACAACTAACTCACACACACTAAATGTCCGCGATATCACCTCGGTGGAAGCGGACGTATAATACAACAAACTCACACACACACACTAAATGTCATTGTGCTTGATAATGATAAGAGGATGTAATACCGGTACTTGTCGAAACATCGTGCTTTTAGAATAAAACCAGTGATTGTTTCCCATAAAATTGTGTTCTGTTAATGTGTTTCCCAATCCCTAAATGTCACTTAAAAGATTATCTTGTAAACCTAGCCCAAATTAGACATACTGATTAAACGCACATGACTATTCCTAGTATATATATCAACATATAGTTCCTAAAAAAATGTTGAATATATGATATTCACAGAAAAGGGGAACATGTGGTATGATGCCTGGTTTCCCCTTATCAGTGGTGCTGGACAGGGGTTCTTTCTCACAAGAAATTAAGGCCTCTCTTACTACTAGACCTAATTCAGATGACAGATGGGACAAAACATATGGCCATGGTCTTCTAGGCCTACCTTATACCACTGACAGCACACAGTTGGAAATCGAAATAAGAGCAGATCATCACTGTGGTTAGAGCAGAAAAGTAAAATGCTGAAATCCTTTTTATTTTATTTTTCATTTCATTAGAAATGTAAACATTACCACGTGTGTCCATATGGAGGTGTGTCCAAATGCAGAAAATTCATTTATCAAGAAATGTCACGCGCTAATGTATATATATAATAGGCATTTTATATACAGGAAAGAAACCAATGAAATTTCTTTTTGTTCACTAGTGTTTAGTAAACACCACAGAAATTATTATACCGGGTGCCGTTACGTGTAATTTTAAAGCATAATAAGTAGAACAGTATTAGATGGCATATTTTATGGAAATAATTTATACTAAAGGTCACACTGACCTAAATAATAAAATTGACAAACTTACCAAATTTTTCGTTGTCTGATTCCGCGTAAGGCTTGTAACCATATACACCAGTTTTTGAGTGATAAAGTGTGACACATCTTTTTGCATGACGACCTGCCAGTCTAGTAGAATTCGACATAAAACGATACATTTTTGTGTGGTTGCTAAAATACTTTTCTGGTTCACATTTCAAGGTAAACAACTCTTGTAAAAGTTATAGACCTTAGTATCCAGACTCTTTGGACTTCTGGCATTGTTGTCCATGCAATGCCAGAATCAAGAATAATAATTTCTAAGAATTTTTTAAAATAAAGTCAAGGATTTAACATCTTATCGACAATCATAATTCTCTCGCGCGAGTTAGTAGTAAGGGGTTGCCACTGCCACTGGACCCTATCATATGGACTAGGCCTACTAGTACTATATATATATATATATATATATATATATACTATTACTATAGGTAGATTTGAGGTTTATTATTTATTTATTTTTCCAAGAGGCATATCAAACATGGCAAGAGGTGATAATATAATGTTACATGATAATTAGATGAGAAAGTTTTGATGAGAGAAAAAGTAATGATGTCATGAATGATCTGCCTCTTCAGGATATGCCTCTTCAGGATATGCCTAACCCATAAAAACCTGCTTAAATCAAAACTAGGTTTATTTAAAATTATTTCCAGTGGGGTCCTTGGAGGAGGATCGGGTCCTGTCATTCATACTGTATTCAACAATATTCTTATAGGGAGACTTTCAATAATTATACAGTAGGCTATTTTTGTTAATTTATTCTTGATGTCCTGGGTATTTCACAAAGAATTTTCTCCTGTGCAGTATTTGACCTTGGAGTTAGCAAACTGTGGAGCATTATAAACATAGACACCCTTTTTGTGACTTTTATTGCCTCATGCCTCTTAAAGGAGCTGTCCTTATTATATGTGAACCAGATGAGTTAATTCTGTGTGGAAGACTCTTAGAAACAAACCTTTATTCTGGTCGGATCAATTAATTGTGTACCATATGGTAGACTCTGGTCCTCTGTGTAAAACTATGTGGTATTTATTTGTAGAAAATACAGATTGGTTGGCAATAAGGTCCAAAAGTCCATAGCCTACTATTCCTTGATTGCCTGGATAGCCATGTCACTTGCCTAAGCAATGGTGGTAACTAGGAAGTGATTGTTACCATGTCATGCATAAATTGAACAACAGAATTCTTTAAAAGAGTTACGTTACCCTGTGAAGCACATCAAGATATTATTTTTAAACTGCCAAATCTGTGAAATCTGAGATGCTTCTCTAAGTAGGCAAAGGCAATAAAAGAACCTGGTCAAATGCAAACAACTTCATTCCTGTTTACATACAAACTTTATACTGAGCTCTTCACCATGATGACAGACCAATATCATCAGTAGAATATTTATAACATTGGCCAGATTTGTAAATAGAATGCTTAAGCTGATAACATTCATCTTGTTTATTCAACATAATTTTACATTAATTCATATGTAGTTAGAAAGACTGTGCAATAATAACTTGTATATTATCACAAATAACATTATTAAAAATTATCTAAATCCTGACTTAAAAAACATAAATCATTTTAATTATTATTAATCAGTGCATTGAGTTCAATATCTTGTAAATGTATCTACCAGTTTTATATCTTTCTGACTAATCAAAACAAAAATATTAAAACCAAAAAATAACAAATAAGCAATATAAAGTGGTTTACAACAGTTTGCATAACAAAATATGGCGTACTATAAATGCAGAAAACAGCTCTAAATACTTAAAACTGAGTTATACTGGCACAATTTCTCAAAAGAAAATAGAATGCAAAAAACATTCATTCATACTTTTGTAATGCAGACAATGGCCTTAAATACTTAAAACTGAATTACCGGTATACTGGAATTCCACAATAGAAAATAGAATGAAAAAATTATTTTTCAAGTAAAAATTCCATCTTTTTCATCATTTTTTTAGCATCAGAGATATTGACAATATTTAAGATAGAAATCGAAAGACAAAAATCTCCCTGTTTATATGTACCAAAAGCAACCCTTAGATACCATGAGTCAAAATATATTTGGTAGCACATAAGAAAACAATTAATATTCAGCATTTTCTGAAAGTTTAAATTCGATCAAGTTGACAGAATCAGTTAATAATATACATTTAATCCTCTTTAAAATAGATATTCTATTAAATAAAATATCAGGGTCAACCTAATAATGTAATATTTTTGAAATATGTCATATTTTAAATGATCACATACATGATTGTATAATATAATATATTGAAATTATCAATAACAGCATAATTTCTTTGTATAGTAAATTTTCTAAAAATATTCAATGTTCTATAAACATAATCATTAATAATAACTGTTTGCTATAAGCTTACTGCATCCTCAATTACAATTATAACAACAGTAATGAACATATCACATCTTTAATCTAAATAATAACTGTAATGCTATGTGACATATTATTAATAATAAAATTTGTAATAAGCATATCACATCTTCAATCTAACTTATAACAGTAATGCTATGTAAACATAATATTAATAATAATCATTTGTTACAAGCATACTGTAATTTCAATTATTATTATAACAACACAGTATGCTTTGTTATCACATTAAAATATACTGAGAAATAATACTAAACTGTACATGCATTTGTTGGCAATTGTCAAGATAGAATTTTCATGATTTTAATAAAAGATGACTATAGTTTATTGTATTATATCTTTTTAATTCTTAAATTAAGCTTCTAAAATGAAAACCCCAAGCATAAAGATGTTATTATAGAAACAATGAAAGGACCTTCGATGGAGGACAAGAGTTATTTACATATTTAATATACATTACAAATCAGCTGAATTTAATGTTTCAGTTGAAGAAAGTTCATCAATTCATTGTGCACAAGAAAATAGTATATTATTATGCTTTTGGGTAATTTTATAATCTTCCTAATCATAAAGTTTATGAGTTTACATATAGCACTTAGATAACTCGATGAGTTATTATATTTATTTATATTGCGTAGATCTTTAAAAACAAAATGTATACAAGTATTTTTCACTGTTCACAAAAGGCATTTAATGTGCTTTCTAAAAGCTTTCTATGTGAGCAGAAATGAACAGAAACACCTAATATACATTAAAATCAATGAAGTACTCAATTACGTAATGATAGTTTGATATTTCAAATTACTAAAGTCTATCAGGATATTCTTTTACCTATTAAATATATTAACAAAATATTATCCATATTCCATAATTATATTCTCCAACCCAACTCATAGATTAACTTTCATTTTATCCATTGGTGTACACACCAAGTTTTATTATAAAACTTAAACAGGCATTATGCAAGGGCTAAATCTGCCCACTGCAGGTTTTTCCTTTCGGCCTTAGTTGTTATATAAACTATTAATTAGACATTTAATAACATAATTAACTCTCAATGCCATCTGATGGGTCCAATTTTCAACAGATTTGAATCTGATCTGCAGTTCATCGGATGTTGATGATTAACTGTAAAAATGGATGATCGATACTTTGTTTATTATCGTAACAATGGTAACAATGACAATCAAGGCTACAGTGTTTTTGAAATCAGGACTGAAATTTTCTATTATTTAACTATAATAGCGAGAACTGTCAGCTCTTTATCTAATCTTCCATAATGCCGCTTTAAGTCTTTATGCTATTCATTAACACCTGAAATTAATGGACTAATACTGTCCATTCCATGTTCTTAGACATATATTTCAACTTTTCTTATATTACATATCAACATATTCAGCTTTATAATCCTCATATTTCCTAGTGGTCAAATCTTATATCTTCATTCAATATCCAACATATGATCGTCACCTTCAAGTTTCATTCCCTTCGTTATAGTCATACCCTTGATAGTACCTGCCATAGGAGCATTTACAACCATTTCCATTTTCATAGCACTCAGAACAACTATGGGTTGGCCCTTCTTGACCTTGTCTCCAACCTTAACCTTGATGTCAATTATCTCCCCTGGCATAGGGGCACCAACAGATCCCAACACTCCTTTAATAGCTTTAGGGTGAAAGTGCATTTCCTGTAAAATAAAGCATTGGAATATTAAAGTTTGAATATATTTATGTAACAGTTGAAATTCCATATAAAATCAACAGACTTTATACATGTATAGGCGATAAATAAACTGGCATGTTTCTCTAAATGAATTAACAGCTAGAAAACCACAATAAAATGTAAACTGAATCTAAAACATGTGCCTGAGTGAATTGTGTGGTTACATCAAAAATAGTTATCAACAGCAATGTTTTTGTTATAGGTCAATGTGCACCATCGTCCAGTATCATTTATTGTTAATTATAACATTTATTAGGGTTGTGTACTTGATCAATGAGCCTACGGTACACTTCTGGCTTGGTCTGTGATATATAAAACTATTATGGAAGCAGACGTTAAGCAACAATGAAAAAGATACTTTCCATTACAGTACCTCCCTTTACCACAGAATATATAAACATGCAGCAATTAATTTAAGTAATCTAGTAGGTTCTGAAAACAAGGATATTTCCCTGCAGTTTAGTTTAATCAAGTCTAACAACCGTTGCCATACCCAAATAACTGTCTAGAACTTACCTTCATGGCTTCTTCGTCTTTAATCAATACAGATCTCAGTTGTCCATTTAATTCAAAGAAAACTTCTCTAGCACCAGTTTTATTGAGATCACCAACAGCTAGAGTCTTAATAGATAATGTTTTACCTCTTTCTATTTCAACCTGAAAACAAAGCAATATTATTTTTCAGAATAACTTATTTAAATTTTTTGTTATTTTGCAAACCAAAATAAAAACACAATAGATGCCAAGGTGTGAAACCAAATACAGCTACATCTCCTAAATACGGATTGAGAGAGGGAGAAATGGGGTTAAACAACCGCGACACAAACCAGGTCATTTCGGGACTAATATATGGTTTAATTTTATTTCAATAATTTGCTTTGTGTATATGGGACTTTATCAGTAAGCGGAAACCCAAGGACAAAGAGAAAACCAACAAGGTTGGACAGGCGACCCTACTACTGGTAACGTATAAGCGGGGAATCAAAACCATGCCACTTGACTCAATGTCAGACCTTATGAGCTCATGCATTAAACCATTCCCTCCCCCCCCCCCCCTTCCTGAATAGGACAAATTGAAATTTCCTGGATTTTTAACATGGTAGATGTATATTTCCCCAATATTGGGTGTCATGGAAAAGAATAACTATACATTCGACAGTGGTAATGATTACTGTATATGCCACTGGAAAACTTGTAAATAACATTTGATGCACTATACAAGATGTGCTGTGAACTAGTAGTAGAGAAAAATACTGGAGATTGGTGAACAAATGGAAAAACACCCTGTCCCTCACTTAATACCAGTTAATAATACCAGTTGTATCAGACATTAATAATATTCCATGGTCAGTAAAAAAGGGCATGTTTCATTATTAATAACCTTATAAGAAAATAATAAATATACTGAACAAAATCACAGGTTATTAGTTTTGCAGTACCAAATAGTTGTGAATCTGGTTTAGGGAGACTACTGGCACTTGTTTTATTTATTGTAGCAGTAACAATTATTAATAGTCTATTGATGAGCACATGTCAGATTTACAGAACAGGTTGTATATTTATTAGTTTCACTGTGAATCTGGTTTAGTGAAACTGTGTTTTATTGGGTAGTTCATTGCACTAGTAACAAACACAAATTACTGGTCTTCATAAACATTTACTATTCACACTCTGGGAATTCAGGAGCAGTAACGAATGCTGTACCAATCTCATTAGTTTTCACACATAGAATATAAGTACATGTACACAGACTTACCTCTGTTTCCTGTGCTACTTTTGGTCCAGCTAAAAACATTCTGGTATCTAAAGTATTAACTGGTCCATATTTATCTATAAAATCTAAATAATTATCTGTAACGGTAGGATAGAGGGCAGCACTCATTAAATCTACCTCCTTAATTTTTCTACCATGTTTTTCTTCAAGAGAACTTTTCAGTGCGTCAAAATCCAATGGTGGAAGTGAAGCACCTGGTCGTTCATCAAATGTTTTAGCTCCACGTAAAATCCTTGATCGTAAAGGTTCTGGAAATCCACCTGGTGGTAGTCCCAATAGCCCTTGAAAATATTCTATTACAGAACTAGGGAAAGATAACTCTTCTGCTCTTTCTTCTACCATTTCTGCTGTAAGTTTATTCTGAACCATAAACTGAGCCATATCACCAACTACTTTGGACGATGGAGTTACCTATAAGAAAATTAATACTCTTTTTTATGGATGACCAACCGTACTAGACAATGCAAACTTTTTAGCTATTTAAAAACAAGAAGACATGGCCATCAACATCCTGCACCTTTGGACATGTTTTTGAAGGTACAGGGACAGACAATGAGGAACCACCTACTAGTAGTGTATATTATGTTAAAACATCAACAGCAAATTATATCAGGCATCACAATATTTTCCAAGATAAGCTCAGTAATAACATATTTCCATGGGAACACAAAAATGATTAAATCCAAGATCTAACTAACAAAAGTAACAGGTGAATGTCTACACACAGGAAGGCAGAGAAACCACACAATTGCTACCGTGTGACAAGAAATTAAGTTGCCTCAATGTTCTCTCAATCTTTACAATAAGAGTAAATTTCCTACTTAAAGGCTCGAAATTTCAATTTATCATAACTTTGTAAATATTGAATGGAATTGAACCAGTTTTGAACTGATATTCCTATTAGAGATACAACTTTCACAATATTGTAGTTTACCAGGGATTCCTATAACGCTAAATGGCGCATCAAAACTTTAATTAAAAACCCGGAATTTATCTCAGCTGTGGCAATTTGTGGATGCTATACTTTCTGTAATTTTTATTCAGTTGTATATATTTGATTTAGAGTTCATTTCCCTGGTAATATCTATATGTTTACCTTTGGTATATCTCCCAGTAATTTATTGGCAACTGAATACATTTTCTTTACTTCTTCAAACTGATCAGCTAACCCAAGACTAAATGCCTGGAACTGTAGATTGGTGTACTGTCCACCTAGAGCATAAATATTAAATTTATTTAATGTGCTTCTCAATTTTCAATTAAAATCAAATCAATCTTTCTTTCTAGCATAATCATTACATTCAAAGATTACATAACACAACACATTTGTATGAATAATAATCACTATAATTATATACACCCGTTACGTTTCAACAAGATATCACTAGTCACTAGTTCACTTGATAATGACAAGTGAGAGCCTGTCGAAAGGTTGTGTGTATAATATTATAATTGTTATCCACAGAACGGTGTTGTGTTTTGTTATTTTCAATCGCTAAAAAACATTCAAAGACTACAAAGATTACATATTTAGGATCTCGAATGTTGCTGAAATACATCTTTATGAGCAATTAGTTCTCGCATTTGGGTGTAAAAACGTAAATATCATAACAATTCAGATTTAAATGTTTATTTAAATGCTCACCTGGAATTTCATTGATATAAATATCTGAATTACCACTCTTCATAGTAACACAACATTCAAATGGTGCATACAGATTCCTTGTTTGTTCCCAATATGCTGAGTATGCAGATACATTATCAAGCTTTAAACCTATATAAAACATAGATTAATTATATTTATATATATATATATATATATTGCCATTGTAAGAAAGTGTCTTGAATTCCATTTTCCTTGAAACGTTGACACAAGTCTTGCTGGACTGAACAGCATTTTCTGTGTGGAATTATAATTGGTTAAACAGAATGTAGGAAAACACACCTGATGTGAGCTAATTTATGGTAGACTGCAGGCAAAGCTAGTTAGACACAAATCTTATGCATTAATACAGACTTATCAAACAAAACTCACTTGAGTAGTATGCAGTTTATATGATTTATATCCATCAAATGTGACTGTTCATAAAACACAGAACAACACAAACAGAAAGGATTCTATTTCCAGGACTACATGTTTGCTGAGGCAAATATATTTTGTTTGGTTTGCTCCAATAACAAAGGCCATTTAATTCATTATTTCTGATTAATAAAGCCTAACTTTATGTCAATAAGCTCCTGATTAATAATTCAAATATTAGACTGTTCAAGTGATATAAATTCAAACTGATAAATGTTAACCAAACATAATCACTAGGGAAGATTTTAATTTTTAATATACCTGTATCTAAATCTGTTCTTTCTAAAGCTGCGACAACAGCTCCCATACTAGGCTGTGATGTCATACCAGACATAGAATCAACAGCCACATCTACAACATCAGCTCCAGCTTCAGCTGCTGCTAACATGGCTGCCACTCCTGCTCCTGCTGTATCGTGGGTATGAACATGTATAGGTACATCAGGAAACTTGTCCCGCAGTGAAGACACTAATAGATGTGCTGCTTTTGGTTTCAATAATCCAGCCATATCCTAAAATTATCAGCAAAATTTTTTTTGTAAGAAAACAATGTCTTTGATATCTGTTATAGTCTCAATCAATTAAATCTAGTTATACTCAATTAAATCTAGCTATACTCAATTAAATCAGATTATACCCCATCTACTTGTACTCAATTAAATCTAGTTGTACTCAATTAAATCTAGTTGTACTCAATTAAATCTATTAAACTCAATCAATCAAATCTAGTTATACTCAATTAAATCTAGCTGTACTGAATTAAATCTGCTTATACCCAATTCCACATTATTATACTTCATTAAATATCGTTGTACTCAATTAAACATAGTTGTACTCAATTAAATATAGTTATACTTCTTTCATTCTGGTTAAACTATTAAACTCAATTCCACCTGGTGCTACCCAATTAAATCAAGTTAAACTCAATTAAATCTAGTTATACCAATTAATTATAGAAATACCAATTAAATCTATTTAAATTCAATTAAATCTAGTCATACTCAATTCAAGTAAATCTAGTCATACTCATTTTAATCTGTTTATACTCAATTCAATCGAGTAATGCACTATTCAATTAGGTAATGCACTAATCAACGTAGCTATACTATACTGAACTACCAACCTTAATACTGAGAATATGAGTTCCAGCTTTAACCAATTCTCCAGCCAGATCTTCATAATATTGTAGATTATATTTAGTTTTTGTTGGATCTGACACATCACCAGTATATGATATAGCAGCTTCAATAACACCACCTTAAATACAATAAATTATAAAATTTTCTAATGTAACTTTAACATCCTCCATCCAGTTTTAGGATACAGAACAAAATGAGACACTACTTCTCAGTCTGGGTATCTAACAGTGATCGGATTTCGCCCGTATATTCCAGAATGTCCGACGCTATTTTCCAAACCTCCTAAATTGTCCGACCAGGAATATGCCCAATCGGACATCAAGGTATGGTGAATAATATTCAAAATTCCAAAATTAATATAGTGTTCTGAGTGTATATCTACCACTCAACCCAATTATTGTTGATGCTATCTAACACTATTTTAGTGGTACAGCAAGGTAGACACAAGTGCAGAATTAGGATGTTTTATTCAAGGATTAAACATGCCATGATGTTTCACATATTCACCTTGATAAACCACTGCTGCTGTTTAAGAAAAGATTACATGCATAACATACATTTGAAAAGAGAGAGAAATGGAGTCTTTAGCAGTGCTAGGAAACCGAACGACCAGAGGAAACCCACAAGGTTTGACAGACGACCCTACTCCTTGTCATGTACAAGCAGGGAGTCAAAACCATGCCAGTTAACTCAATGACAGAACATAACCCAACCCCCCTCATACATTTGGAAAGCAAGCACAAAGGTTTATATTGCTAATGGTTTCATTATATGATAAAGTCCCCCAAAACAGTAAATTCTCTAAAAACTGATTGTCACGTAAATTAAAAACATTCAATATTAAAGGGAGTCAGGGACTATCCCGATTTGAACAGAGACTTAAAAATAAATGTCCGAGTACGTATGAAATTTAAGCGGCAAAATATAGAGGAGTGGCGTATTTACCTTGTCTCAAAATTTCAGCTCAAAATATTGAGTCGTTTGGACGTGAACGTCAAAACTGCTTATCCGAGCACGTAACCCTTTTAAGAATTCGGGTCAATTTTTTCGTTGGGTGACTTGATGATCGATTCCCGTTCCTTGAGAGGTCTATACAGTGCACGACCCACGTGCTGTATTTGATAACGAAAGGTAAATTTCACTAACACATTATTTTTATAAAAAAAAGTCTTATTTTATCCAGATACCGCATAATACATCTTGAGACACCGGTCTCCATTTCCAGATGAAGACTGACGGGATTAAGTTGTTTGAAAACGTATCACAATTATTGAGTTAGTTGCTCGGCCCTTAGGTAGACAATTTTAAGGGATTTTAACACAAAATTAAGCAGTTTTATTCTCCAAATAATTATCGGGATTGGCCCTTTAATCTGGACAATAATAAAGTACAACCAATTTAAAGGGAATGTACAGAATGTAAATTGTTTTACCTCACAATCACATATAGAGAACTGTAACTCCTCAAGTAGAGATTTTTAGGAATATAAACCTACCTGCATTTCCTACAGCTTCCATACCAACTTTAATGTTGGGTAAATAGTTGAGGGAGTCGAATATACGGAAAATATCCATTCCATGTTTAACAGCCAACTCACAGAATCTAAATAATAAACAATTAGCAATTAATAAAAAGGATCACAAGCTTTTAATAGCTTTTAGTAGTCGATAAATAAGTTACGACCTCTTAGAATTCTTCGATTGAATGAAAATTGTCAAAATTAAGGCAATTTCACAAGGTGTCCCTAAACTTTTGTTATAGACTGTATATAGATTGATTGTAGCAAGAACCGTTATGACATGATTTAATGTGAAAGTTGTACTTTTCTGGTTATTCTGTTGATTTTTGTAATAATTGTCATATGAGGGGATACAAATGTTTTCATAGTTCCTATGTATGCCCTATGAATGCCAGCAATCATCGACTTCATTGTGTGGTTGTTTTTAGGCATATAATTCATTATAATATTTGAACATATAAAATATTTTGTAACTTGTTTATTGGCAAAGACTGTTGAAAAAATGTTATTTTTAGAGTAGTGTTATATGTTATATTATACATATATTTGTATTACAATGTACTAAGAAAGTAAAGCCAGTTTCTTACTTGAAAACTACATTATCAGGATAATTGGTATAGCCTACAGCATTAGCACCACGTAGTAACATTTGGAATGGTATATTTGGAATTAATTTACGTAAAGTATCCAGTCTCTCCCACGGGCATTCGTGTAAGAATCGAAGTGCAACATCAAATGTAGCTCCTGAAAACATTAAAATTTGGAATTTCTATTTGGGGAAATAAATAAAGATCTGTATCTGCTGTATGAATGTAAGGGAAATGCTTCTGCAAGGAATAATTATGTAAGACAGTAATCTTTACAAAGTGATTACAATTACTCATTATATTTTGTCCCCAAAATATTATTATTGATATGCTATGCCGAAAACTTTTTACCATATTATTATTAACTGTTCATGGATATTTGCAGATAAAGAGCTGGTTATGGTATATATCAATTTTGGGTAAAAAAGGAATGTTTCTTTAAGATAACAAAAACACAATGGCAAATTTGCATATCAATGTTAATAAAACAAGATTTCATTAGTGTTTTGACATATATTTTATGGAATAAAGAAAATGATTCTGAAAAAGGGATGGTCTTATTAATGGTGCTTATCTTATTTTGGAAGAGAGTTCTTGAGACAATATACTTACCTCCCCAATTTTCCAAACTGAATAAATTATTAAAATTATGTGCCGTATATGGAGATATTCTATTGAGATCATAACTTCTAACTCGTGTTGCCAATAGCGACTGATGGGCATCACGGTACGTTGTATCCATAAGCAATAGTCCATTGTGTTGTCGAACTTTCTTAGCAAATCCTTCAGGGCCTTCTTTGATAAGAATATCCCTCCACCCTGCTGGTGGTTTTTTGGCTGTAATACAAAAGAACAAACATAATCAAAAAATATGTTAAATAAAATATCTTATCACCAGTTATAAATTTAACATATTTTCAAATTGGAGGTATTAAAAGTTTTCATTGAAAATTCATTTATTTTACATTAAAACGTTAGCGTTACTCATTTCCATACATAATTTTTAAAGTTTTAAAAGTGAAGATTGAATTGTATTTCAATCCAAATTAGACAACACGTAGAGAAAATAAACACCGGACAAATAAGACACAGAAAGGTAGAAATCATTTGACATAACCACTTCAACCAACAGAGTCATAATTTGTCAGGCATAACTTTATGTACATGCTTTAATGGGTTGAGTTAAAACATGCAAGGGTTTTAAATCAAATCAGAGAATTTCATTTTAATCACAGGAATTACACATTTACTGGAAAGCAGGTTTACATTTTGCTTATAATGATACACAAAGCACATTGATTCAACCACCCAAATAGACAAATAGAAATTTAAACACAATTTTCTCTGTTGTATATCAAATTTAGTTTTTCAACGTCAAAGAATAAGAGTCTACTTATATCATTAATTTCTTGAAAAAGCATAACATAGAATTCTATTTAAATTAAAAGCAATGAAAAACAGTTCATATTAATCAAAAAGAATGTCTGTTATTATAGGATTATCTAAAAAGCATTTTTTAAAAAAACAAAAAAACATCTTCATTCACATTGCTTGGATTCCTTTATTGCAAGAAAAGTCAACATAGGCCTTGCAAGTTTACAGGACATTTATAATTGAATAACCATTCAATGAAATCAGAACAAGCTGAAGCTACCAATAATGTTAACGGGAGCATGTAAATGACAAATGTAAAGAATATGTTCCAGAGTGTGTTATTTATTTGAGTGTTATTAACAAAACAAAAAGAATTACTACACAAAAACTAAAAAAAGTGAGATAATCAAATCTATTCAAAATATCTGTAAATATAATAGTTGGCATTTCAACATTTGACCAATGGAAGTAACTGCACTTAATCCAAGAGTATTTAGATGGAAATGAAATGAGTTGAACATTTAACCGAGAAAATGAAAAAAACCCAACACTGTGAGGAGTATATAATGTTGACGTATAGAGCACTTACAGTTCTTTAAATATGAGTTTAAGACCTTGAAGTTTGAACAATTTTATTATATTTGTAAAAGACTGATAAAGATACCTGGTGGTGGGAAATCAATAGAAACCAATATAAACTTAAAATAACCTAAGAGGATTGATCAATTCAAATATTTTTTGGACCCAATTGTTTTAACTGACTGTACATGTATATGGTCTTAAACTCAATATATTGTAATTTTTGGGCTTAATGAAAAATATTACAAATAGTAGACCTAGATCAGTTACTGGCAGATATTAGACATCTATTAAATGCTGGTGTGAGAATGCTTCCTGTACAAGCCAATGTGAACTTTTTACTTATTGTCCTTGTACATGTATCAGTATTGGACAATATATTAATTATGTCAACTAAAAGCAATTAAAATTTTCACTGGCAGTATTCATTTAACAAAATCTACCAGTATTAAAACTAAACAGTTAAATTATTTCCTACTTAAAAGGTATTTGGTAATAGGTCATGTATTCTAAAACTGGAAAATATTTCAATGAATGCAAATTGTCTTAAAACTAATTAGAAAACAGAATTCAGAACATGCCAATGTGTCGTTTTAATGCAAGTGAAGAAAATAGACTAGAGTGGTCTTAGAAAAGATGGAATACTTTCCAGTTTTATAAACATGCTAAAATATATTTTTATTATTGTAATGTTAAATAGTTGTCAATTATGTTTTAAAAGATCATTACAATATATATCTGAAATAAAACTAGAAGTTCTTATTAATTAAAACAGACAAAAATGTCTATTTCATTAGATTTGATGTTCTCATAAAAAGATATACCATTAATCCTGATGTACAAAAGTTCATCTCTTCGGATAAACAAATGTCATTTTCCCTTCGAATTTAACCAATTTTGAGTGTTAGCAAGATCTCAATATTGGCTATATCCAGGAACATGAAATTTAAAGATGCATTATGTAAGATTTAGTTATTGCTATAATAGTTCAAAAATAGATAATGAAAAATGAATATATTGAAAATTTCATTTAAATTACTTATTCAGACCATAGTTATAAGTGTTTGAAGTTTTGACAAGATGTAGCGTAGATAGTTTCAATTGTTGAGTACCATTGATACAGTATTAGTCTCTATTGTCCATTTTAATGTTAAATTATTAAATGGCTCGGGTGTTCTAACCCATCTAATATCTCATCCATCCGATGGCCTATACAGAGTTAATTATAGGCTTGTCATGTGAATAAAAGTCTAAAAAATAATTTATATAACCTTTGTTTGAAACCAGACGAAAAGATCTGCCATAGACAGATTTAGCCCTTACATAATGTATAAGGTAGGTTTATGATTAAATAAAAAATCAAAACATCAATAATCTAATGAAATCAACATTTATGTTTTACAATAGATAAAAACCACCTCCTCTAATCAGTTGTATTATAGAATGATCAGATTTCATTGTTGTGGTAACATAAAGTGGATTCAACAACAAGAAACACACATGAATAAGATCACATTTTTAAAGCAAAACATTTGTGAAAATCTTTGGTTTGTTTTTTTTTTCTCTTCTTGGACACACACAAAGCTGGACTAAGGCGTTTGGCATTTAGATGTATAAATTCTATTTAGTTTTTTAAATCAAAATACAATTTAAATATGAATTTAGAACAATATTTTATTCATCAAAGAGATTGTAAACTGATTGAAAATATTCATTTCATATTCTTGTAAATTTCTTGTGCTGAAAATGTTAGCATATCAGTTATAAAGCCTTACCAACTCCCCTTGTGCCATCTGAAAATTTGGTATAAGTATCTTGTACTACATATATTTACTACTTCAACAGTTCATCAAATGGGAAGAAGTGAGATGGAGAACAGTACACAGTCTTAACAGCATGTTTATAGTGAATGAGGTAAGCATGTATGATTTTGGTCAGGTTATGACCCCCATTTTTAGCATTTTTCTGGGGACAGCTGGTCAGTACACTTAAGTTCTAGAAATTAGGATGTCAGAGGAGAGAATCTTACTTAATAGTGTACACCATTCTTCCTTAATATAAAAAATGAAAGGAAATGGGGTTTAACGTCCTACAGTTTTGCTCTGAACTGGGCAAATATCACAGTGTAGCCTTATTCTACATGTGTAACTGTGAATCATAAAGTCATTTGAGTATCTACTGATCCCATCAAATACTGGTAGAAAATCGAATCCAAATTAACACAAACATATAAATGAAATTCAATAGGCTTCTTTGTTTTACTAATCTAAATAATGCATACAATTTAGTATAGATCAGATAATTTCTTATTAGAGTGTTCACGAGGTTTAACAAAGTGAAACAATGGCCATAACTCTGGAAGTTATTAATGGAAATAAAATAAATTCAATAGGTATCTTCATCTCACTAATGTAAGCAACATATATGAATTTATATATCAGATAATAAATGTAGCCTGTAGAGTGTTCACAAGAAATTGTAAACGATGAATAGACAGAGGCAACAGCAATATACGACTATATTTCCATGTGGGCTTATAATAAAAAGGAGGGGACTGAATGTATAGTTGGTAAATACCAAAAGCTGAAACTTCAGTCTAGTACAATTAAATACTCAGTCTTTCACAAACTGCAGAATCTACCTATTGTATTCAAACTAAGAACATTGTGTTTGCTTAATTATAGATCTAAAATATAGGGCTGGGGGGAGGGGCTGATTAATAGAACACAAAAAGTGATCTTGAAGTAACTTTCTAATTCATGACGTGTATAATTTGTTTTGTTTATCTTACACGATCATCAGCAAAGCTTACATTGTTCACAATATCATAAGTGGCTGGGCGGATACTAGTTTCAAGAAAATTCAGCAGGTAGGATTTGTTATTGCAGCTATGCAGAATTACGCCAAATAAAGCATTGTTCTTTCTGTATATTTAAGTTGAATACATGCCAAATGATATTGGGATTATTTAAATGAAAAAAAAAGGTTGATTTCTCATCAACTCATAAGATGTAAACTTTATTATGGTTATTTCTTTAGAAAAGCATAGAACATACCCATAACAGTTCCTATAAATAAGATGTAATTACTCAAAGTATTTTTATGGACGAATAATTAATACACCATTTTATTCATCATTCATAGTGGAATATCTTGCTTTTAATACCGGTATTTCACAATGAAATTGTTGAATCCTGGATTCATGAAGTAATAATTTTACTAGCGTCCTTGAGAAAAATACCTGGTTACTGAAAGATCACTGGCAAGGAAATTCATAAATTAGATCCACATAAACAACAGATTCTGTAAATTCACACTCCATACAGATATCTATGGTATCAATCAAACACATAATTATTATGTCGCCACTTACCTACAGGAACTTCAGGTACGGTCGGTAGTGTTTCAGACGGTTCTAACTTGGTTGCCAAGGGTGTCGATGGACCATTTACCATTACTTGACCCATATAGTGTAAAAGTTTTTGAGCTCTATTTTGACTTGGTTGAAATTGGAATAATTGTGGATTTTCATCAATAAAATAAGTATCTACAGCTCCGGACATGAATGTTTCATTCTCCAATACATTTAACAGGAATGGTATATTCGTCTGCAAATAATAACAATAATATTTTTCAATATCAACAAGTGTAATAAAATCAGTACATCTGTGATCATTTTAGCTTCTTTTACAAAATATTTTCATAATATGTCCACATGTTAAGACTGTAGTCGTGTAAGCGAATTAATTCAGTTGTTTTTGAAGTTATTGCTCCTGGCATCAAAACCATTATACACTTTAAAAAACTTGAGGGGTACTGAAGAATTTTTTTTCAAAAGTTCAAACGTTAAAATTAAATCGGGATTACCTTTATTAAAAGCTTGGGCGACTAAGCATGTACGTATTTCCTGGCAACCTACATCTTAATATGGATGAAATAATGTCTGATTAATTCTCTTCACTTATGAATGCTCACAGATTGATCCATATGTGTAGTGTTAACCCTTTAGCTCCTTAGAACACCCATTGCATGCACAGCTGTGGCACCCTCACAAACTAGTAAATGGTCCTATAATGCAGAGAGCTATTCACATATCTCGGGCGTTTGAGGCAATCTAAGGTACAACAGTTTCGGACAGTTTAGGGGTTTAAGCTTGTACCAGTATTAATATATCACTTTTCGCTAATTTTCTACAAGGATTTGGGGTAGTCAATATTTACATGTACCAGGTGGCTAAAGGGTTAAAATATACACACAAAATTAAACTTTTACCTTGACACCTCGAATCCTAAATTCTCTCAGAGCTCTCAACATTTTGGCACCTGCAGATTCATGATCTCGAGCTTTGGCAATAATTTTTACCAACAATGAGTCATAATAGGGAGAGACAATAGCCCCAGCAAAAGCAGACGCACTATCTAATCGTATACCCATACCTTCTCCACTTCTAAATACCTGGGAAAAATTAATGTAATGAATGCTTCATTGTATTATTGTTCAAAATGGTGTAATTTCAAACTATATTTCATTGAAAATAATCATTTAACACAAACAATTTACAGTTTTATGAATGCAGATTATGAAATGATTGGTGATTTACACTAAGACATATAAAATAACACCTAAAATCGCTAACGCTAACTTTTCTCCGGTTATACATGTATCTGTATCCCATGCATAATGAGGTCATTTATAAATGGCAAGTAGCATATTCAGTTTTGTCCACATTTTAAAACATAGAATGTGTTTTATATTAAAGATACATTATGGGAGATTTGGTAACGAGTTGGCAGTTCTCACTATAATAGTTAAAAACTAGATAATGTAAAGGCAATTTGGTGAAAATTTCATTCAAATTGATCCACTATGAACCGAAAACTAAGCGACTGAAATTCCCATAAGCCTCGGTCATCATTACTAAAGTCAGTACGATAAACAGCATAGTCTCGATTATCCATTTAATCGTTTAATCGAGAAGGAAAGTTATGCAGTAAATCGGCTTACAATCCACGAAAGATCGCAGGCTAGTGCTGCCATCTAGAGTTGATTATGGCCTGGATAGGTTAATTAATGTCTAATTAATAATTTAGATAACATTTCAGGCCTAAAGAAAGACCTGAAATAGGCAGATTTAGCTCTTGCATAATGTATGTTTAATCAAATATGAGCTTTTCACTTTTAAGAGTTGCTACCCTCATCTCAGTTCCAACAAAGATATGTTAAGAGATGGTGCCAGAGGATAATAAGTGGTATTGATTCAATGTCTTGGTACAAGACACATGCTGCTCAAAGAAAAGTTGAGTCAAATCATTTTGAACATTTATAAAGTTATTACCTCTATTCTACCAGTGTCTGGTTGAAACTTTTTAGCAGGATCTTCTGTAGTCATTCTACACTGAATAGCACAGCCGTTTAGTTTAATATTATCCTGAGCTAATTTTAATGCCTCTAGTTTATGTCCTTCAGCTATTCTTATCTGAGACTGTACTAAATCTACTCTGTAATTATTAGAAATAAAAAAAACCCCTAGAACTGACTGTATAGAGAGAGAAAGAATGTTCACTTGACACAAACCAGGTCATTTTGGGACTAATGTTTGGTACAATTCTGTTCAATAAATCACTTTCATGTTGGTGTTTCTTTAGCTGTTAGAGGAAACTGAAGAACTGGGAGACAACATATGTGATCGAGCAGGCAACCCTACCTTATGATCAAATCCCTCCCCCACCCCCTCAACTGACTGTGTACAAATAATGTACAAATGAGATGAATGTTGGTTACCAGTATTTCAACTGATTCACTTATCATCAACCACACATGAAAACCATCCATTTTCTGAAATTTGAACATGACTTAGGTTATGGTTTTAAATAGCCCTTCAAAAGATTTAACTAGTTTTATGCCCTCCCAAGAGACATATTTCAAAAATAAAAAAAAAATGTTACATGGCTTACCCAGTGACTTCCTCTGTAACAGTGTGTTCAACCTGTAATCTAGCATTTACTTCAATGAAAAAGAAATTGCCTGTGTTATCCAATAAAAACTCAACAGTACCAGCATTTTCATAACCGACATGTCTACAAAGCTTGACTGCGTCTGCCGTCATTCTGTCTCTAATTGCTGGGTCTAGATGAGGGGCTGGTGCAATTTCCACAACCTTTTGATGACGTCTTTGAACAGAACAATCTCTTTCATACAAATGTATCACATTACCATGACTATCACCTACAGCAGAAAAGAAACATAAGTTAAAGGATCTATATCGCGACACACAAGCAGCCCAAATTCAATTGCAATCACTTGTACCTGGTTAGACCAGTCTACATTGGCTTTGAATTTTACAGAATCATGTATAACTTACCTAATATTTGTACCTCTATATGTCTTGGTCTTTCTATAAATTTTTCTAAAAATAAGGAACCATTACCAAAAGCTGTTAGTGCCTCAGATGTAGCACGATTAAAATTCTCCTCAATTTCCTGTAAAGTTTAAACAAACACGTTAGAAACACAGGCGATCATGGACTGGAAATTCTTGTTCTCAGAACGGATACTATTTACATCACAATAGTGGTCCACACTGGAAGTGTTGTCAGAAAGGAACAAATTTAACCATTTTGTTCTTAGAATCAAGATAAAAGTGATAATGTAAACAGACTTTTGTCCACAGTCCAGCATTCATACGGAGGCAGACCATCAAATTTCACCATCTCGGTATCCACAGATTGTAGTTTGTCTATTTATAGCAATTCTCTCTTTCTCTTTTCTTGGGGGGTTGGATGGCCGAATGGCTAGCGTGCGTGCTGTATCATAACATCTGCGATTGAGTCAACTGACATGGTTTCGATTCCCTGGTTGTACGTGACAAGGAGTTGGGTCATTTCTCCCCTTTTCCATGTCTATTTTTGTTGTTTTTTGGTCTAAAGTGGATGAAGAGAGTTTTGGTAAATATTCATGATTTTGAGGCAGAAGAATAACAGAGTTAACAGGTTGGTTACATTGATATGTACGGTGAATAGTTACATGTTTTTAGTATGCTACTTCAAGTTTGTGTATCTCAAAATATTGGTGGTCAACCTCCTACAAATTTTGGTGAAAAGACATGATCATTTTTTTCTCTCTCTGTAGTGAAAAGCATGCAGCCCAATGAAAAAATGGGGTAAAGTTGGAAGCTATGAGACCGAATTAACATTGAAGTTAATGGGGAAATTAATGGTGGTCTGAATCCTATATAATAATATGCGGTTATCTCCCTTTGATACAGGTAGGATTCATACCCTTACTACTTTCATGAAAGACGTCATGGTGATTAGAAATACATTGATCAAATGTGACTTACATCTAATTCTCGTACAACTCGCATACCACGACCACCTCCACCAAACGCAGCTTTAAATATAACAGGAAGACCATGATCCTTGCAGAACTGAACGGCTTCTCCAGCAGATTTGACAGGTCCATCAGTACCAGGAACCACAGGTACTCCTAATAAAACACAATTGCATTTCGTGAATATGTAACTTTAAAATACTAAAAAACTGCATTTCATGCATCAATACATACAGTGTGGCTCACATGGATTTAATTTACAAATCATGACGTGCATCATAGTTTGCATTAGATTTTATCATGTATTGTTTCGATTTTTTTAAAAATAAAGTTCTTCACACCAGGTGTTAATTTCTAACTGTTATTAACACTCATTAATATCATGGACCTTATAATACTGGCTACTCCCACGTTGTCTCGCCGAAAGTCTCGTGCGGCATGCATTCAGCGGTATTGCTTTTCATAACAAAGTCCATGGCCCTTTTTTTTTATAAAATATGATAATGTTTAGAGTATAATATGTTGACAGCAATGTTTCTGAAACTCAATTCTGTTAACTTTTCAGATTAGGAATGAGATGTACATGAAAAAAATACTAAAATCCAAATTTCAACACTTAATATTATTTAGTACCAGTTGAACAGAATGATATCATTGAAGGAAATTTGAAAGTTTAAAATTAGATGTGGAAACTATCAGCAATAATAACATTAGTGTCACAAAGCCAATTTTTACAAAACTTTTGATCTATCTGTATGTAGATAATTAAACTGTTATCCTTCAAGACTACATAAGGAATTTCATTCTATTCTAGACAGCCAACTATAACATGTTTTAGACAAGGTCTGATTTACGATGAATAGTTAACGGCACCACCGATAAAACAAGTAACTTGTGTTCAGATTTCAGGAACTAGGTAAATGTGTTATAACAATACTGCTTTGTCCTCTAGTTTCGACAGACTAACCTGCTTGAATAGCAGCTTGACGAGCTTCTACTTTATCTCCCATCTTTCTGACAACTTCTGGTGATGGACCAATAAAATTAATACCAGCATCAACGCATGCTTGAGCAAAATCTGATCTTTCTGATAAAAACCCATAACCTGGATGTACTGCATCAACTCCATTCTCCTGTAATATTATCAATATTTGTGGTACATGTCACATAGAACGTGGAGAAGAATATTGTTTGGGCATAATTTCTTGTGCCATTACTTATTTCAATTCCAACTGCCAATCTTTTACATTCACTGCGATTAAGTATCAACGTGAACTTATTAATTTGTTTCTCTGCACAATTCAACAAACTAGTCTGACAACTTTGCGCCAGTCTGTGAAATGTGAGAATCACATCTTCTTAGCCTATGGCAGTACTTCAACCTTTGACTTTAATCAAGTTTTTTTAAATTGACAGTTACAGGGGTAGCCTTGATCGCTCTAGCCCAAATTGTCTAAACAAAATAATGTTAATTGAGTATATTGGTCTCTCTCGGGAGAAAGAAAGAGAAAATGGGTTTAACATCCACTAGACATTAGTGCTGGGTATTGCGACGGCAGTCTCGATATGATACATATTGCCCATTTGGGTGCTACGATACGATTTGTATAGCGATTCATAATCAGGTCAATATTTACCTTACATCTTGACACGTACAAATGTTGTGATCTATATGTACCACACTACTTCACTCACTCATTGACACGCCTTTTGATCTAAAGTGCACGCATAAGACCACATGACCACCTACACCCCCTCTATGATTCATGGGGAAGTTGGGTGTTCGATTGGTTAGTGCGTGCGAGTTGAATCAAAAGGTCTGTCATTGAGTTAAGTTGCGTGGTTTCAATTCCCCACTTGAAAGTGACAAGGAGTAGGGTCGCCTGTCCAACCTAGTGGGTTTTCTCTAGGTTCTTCGGTTACCTCACAATGCTAAAGACCCCTACGCGCAAGCAAATTATTGAAATAAAATTGAACTATATGTTAGTCCTGAAATGACCTAGTTTGTGTCAAGTGGACATGAAACCCCATTTCTCTCTCTCTATGACTCATGGGAAATATTGTTTTTCCTCTCAACCAATCCAATTATGTACAGACAATTCTGAAAATTCATTCTATTACGTCCATAACTAAGGTTCATTGTAGTCAAAGTGGAGATAATTTTGGCTAAATCAATTAAGACTCAGGCAGCACATAGAAACAACTACAAGTGAATGTACATTAGAGAAATCACAGCAGTTGTGTTCAAAATCAATTAAATTAATTCAAGACGTCACTTTGCTACCCTAAACCTCGCTAATCAATAATCAACTTTGTTAAATATACAAAATATAACATCCATGTCAATTAGAAACATTCATCAAAGCTATAAAAACATATCCCCATAATATATCATCAAAGCTAACAATGGAGTGTTGAATTTTCAATAAATCAGGCCTACCTTTGCTATGTGTATTATTTCTGGTATATTAAGATAAGCAGCTACAGGTGGAAGACCTTTTCCTATTAAATATGATTCATCAGCTTTCTGTCGATGCATGTGCATCATATCTTGTTCTGAATAAATAGCCACTGTTCTTATGTTCATTTCTGTACATGCTCGGAACACTCGTATTGCAATTTCACCTGAAAATATACATAACTAATTCATATTCATGGAATCATGTCATAATAGGGTATGATAAAATCATAAAAAACATAGGTAAGTAATTCAAAGTTGAATTTAAGAATAAGCAAATTTTCCCAATCTAATTATTTAATATATATAAACTGGCAGATTATCGCCATTCAAGGGATGTCCACTCTAAAGATCGGTAGCATTATTTCTCTTACGTCTTTCTGGTAAATCATATGGTTTTTTTCACTTTGAGTGATGCCTGTATCATTACAGGTCCGGGACTGGACAGTGCAGTGGACGCTTACAGATGGCCCCCGGTTCCATTCACTTGATTTGATATTTGTTGTTTAAAGCGAGAATTTCAAATTTTCTAAGAAAGTCAAAACATAATTATTTCTATGTCTTTTGCTCAATAGGTTATCAAATCACTATTATACGATCATGGGCATTATTTCCCACCCTTAAAAATCTATGACACAGGAAATAACAACACAATTACCTCCCCTGTTTTGCTATTGACAACACGGGGCAGCCATTTTCCAACGTTGGAATTTGAAGTTAAAAATGATATTTTTGCCAATTTCTCAGCTGGCAATAGCGAATTATAGGATTAATAGGATTATTCTTTAACAAGGTAGGACTGTTTATGGATACCATCTATTTTAAGGCTTTATTTTAATACATTTTAAAAATATAACTTGAAAATTTGCAATTGCAACTTTAATTCTTGCTACATCTGTGTAGTTTATCTTGTCCCCAGGTTGGTCTTGTCGGTTTTGTTTTGCCTGTACACTTACTATAAGAGAAACAAGGGTGTTTTTGCCACCTAATCCTGGGCACATTTTTACGATGAATATATATATATGTTAATCAAACTGTTTTTCAAGCAAAGACCATTTGTAAACAATTCTTTATGTATTAAATGTCTAATAAACAAATTCTTTACCTCTATTGGCCACCAGTAATTTTTTAATAGGAGCATTTGTAAGTTCTTGTGACGTCTGTGATTTATATGTTCTGTATAGTTGGTTGTACTGGAGTGGCCTCCCTTTGGGTTCATGATTCAAAATAACCTGCGAAAGATTATTACCAGTGGCTTGATGGATTTTGGTCACTTGGCGCTGAAGACGCAACATTTTGTATTCAAAAACAATTTCTATATGCTTCTAAAACCTGTAATAAGAAAATATTAAGTTAAATGGCAATACCATACAAATAATTTCAACATTTAGTATCTTCCAGATATTGTTAATACGAATTCCAGCTTACAACCATAAGAGAACATTTTCAATTTCAAATATTTTGATTTGAAATGAAATGAAATGAGGGATTTAACGTCCAGCTGCTCTGCTCGGACTCAGCTAATGAAGAAGGGCATACACCATACAGTGTGCGATGAGGGAAATTTTGCCCGGCGGTTGCGCTATGACATACTCTTTTATGGGATTTCAACTGTCAAGGGATCTTTTATGTGCAAGCCAATGTGTACATGACTAGACAGCTGTCCTTGTCCGGCCCACCGTCCTGCATCACTGACAAGGGAAAACCACGCCTGAAAATCCTGATGAACTTTCTCGGCCAACACTGGGAGCGCATCCGCAACCTCCAGGCTAGTCAGCCAGCGTCTTACTCACTTAGCAACCGTGGCATTGAATATGGATTTGGTAGCTTAACCTGTAGGCTGTCCAATAATATATTTTTTAAAAATGTGTCTAATATGTTCATATTTTAAAGTTGATGCACAGCAATAATCCGATACTTACTGGTTCAATGCTTTTTGTACCAACAGCTGTTAGCCATATATTAATGCATGCAAAGAGTAAAATAGGTGACCATTAGAAAATTCAAATCAATAAGCATCCAGACAATGAGCGTCACACCTGACCAAACCCAATTATTATAATAAATAATGCATGCAACCTGTCATGTACCTCAGAATTCCATTGATACATCAATAATATAATACATTTTCTTTGAGTGGCATTTACCAATTGACACACGTAATAAATGTAATAAATATATACATTATAAAGCAAATAAAATACTGAATATGATAGAATACATGGTATTTCCTTTCCTTTTCGTAATTAAAACATAACCATTGATTTGTAAGTCTTGATATATTCTTTCCATTAAAATGATTTACCGCCCTTGATCACATGAATAGTGTGTACATCAATTATCTAAACAACTTTATGTACCAATACATCCTTCCTGAATCCTGTTTAAGTACACAGTATAGCCCTGTTATGTGTCAAGAATACTATAAATGTCTCTAATATACTATCTTCATATCATCTAACCTATATTGCTACTCAACAAGTAAACAACAAGTTTTAAATATCTAAATGAACACACGAAAAATAATAATACTTTATAAGAGAATGTCACTTTTATGAACAGCAGACATATTCATTTTAATAATAGAATCAATTTGAATGATGAATAATTACTCTTCATAATTTCAAAAGCTGTAATGATAAATTGTGCATTGAAATTTTATCATCCATGACTTGAAATATATCTAATATAAATAGAGAGACAGAGAAATAGGGTTTAACGTCCACTCAACACAAACTAGATCATTTCAAGACTAACACATGGTTCAATTTTATATCAATAATTTGCTTGCGCATAGGGATCATTAGCAGTGAGAGGAAATCGGAGGTTGGACTGGCAACCCTACACCTTGTCACGTACAACCGGGCAATTGAAAGCACACCAGTTGACTAAATGACAGACCTTTTGATACAGCACACATGAGCTAACCATTCAGCCATCCAACCCCCCTCTAATATAAATAAATAGTCTCCCATAAACAGAAGTACATCAGACTTAGGTGAAATTAAAACAGGAGTTTATTACATGACAATTTGGGTTTTACAACGCTATATACGATTGTCATTCATAATTCTATGATCTTGTAGTAATCACACAAATCTAACTGGTTTGTCCAACCTTTTTAATGCTATGAACTGAGTGTTGCTTAACCTTACTTTAAACTTTAGGTTGAAACAGAGTTGGCCAGTTAGTGATTATCTGTCTCCCTCTCCCCCACCAAGTCCTTGAAAGAGGTTAAAACAGGTGAGAGTTCTTTTTGACAACACTGCACTATAGTTCACATCTGATCGGGTCAGTCTAGATCTGGATTGTTCACACTCCCTTTCCTTTCCCTCTACTACACTTCACAGAGGCGGATTCAAGGGGGGGGGGGGGGCGAGGGGCGCGCGCCCCCCCTTATTTTCGACAGTGCCCTTTTTTACTGCTGAAAGTGCCTTTTCTCAGACCCAAATATGTCCGTTCCCAACCCGTTGCAGGGATCTTAAATGACGCAAACCATCGATTCAAACACATCAGTCTGGTCTAATTAATGCTTCCACTTTCAAACGAAATCTTGTTGTTTAGCTGACGGTGCCCTAATCCTATAGAGTGACTATAGACCTATAGACAGACATCTTGTGGAATCGGCGGCGTATACACTCATGTCCATCACCGACGCGCATGAGTGCAAGTTGATGTAGCATTGTTTCATGTGTGGACAGTACAAAGTACAAGTTACAAGGCTTAAATAGTGAAGTGGCTAGGGAATAGATTCGTCTTTTTTCCCATCATAATGCCTCGCTCGCCCTTGACAATTTTCGAGCCGCATGTTCAACTGGCTTTTTTGCTCGATTTTAAGGCTCTTTTTCAACGATTTCTGAACGTTTACTTAGACGAAAATATCAGCCAAATAGCTCTTGGAATGGCTACAGATGCAAGTAAATGACAGATAATTTTCTTGGGGGGACCCCCCCCCCACAAAAAAAAATCTCCTCTCAGCGGCGTGCCCCGTCTCCGCGGTCAGTGCCCTCATTTTGCGGCGCCCCCCCTTTTCAAAATTCATAGATCCGCCCCTGCTTCACTAGATCTTTCGAGGCAAGTTTCCTTGGAAACAAGATTTCACGATATCACAATGGGGGGAAGCACAAGTAAAGTCCTATTAAAGTATTATAGTAGTAGTACAAAAAGTATTAATATGCCTACAACAGCTGTTGTAAAGATTATATTCACAAAAGTTATAGTATACTAATTATACAGTCATTTGCATGTTAAATAAACATTTCAGAATTTGTTTATAACAGTAAGTCACAGACACCATTTCCAAATTGTTGAATTCTATTAATTTAAACTTTTAAATAATCAAACTTTATTTCTCATTTATTTAAAGATTCATTACGTAAGAGCTAAATCTGTCTATTGTAGGTCTTTTTTTCTGGTTTCAAATATTACATAAATTATTACCTAGACATTTATTCGCATGGAAAGACAATATTTAACTCTCTAATTCATTAGATGACTTAGATATTGAGTGCATCAGACATATCTGCATTAAAGGATCAATAGGGGTGCCACTCACAGAGACAGCCGATAGAAGGACTGAAAATCAAGCATTTGTTTATTATTGTGGCAAAGGTACTTGACAATCAAGAATATGAACTGTCAAGGACAATCATCAAGGACAATTTAGTCTGTTTCTTGTCGAAACTTCAATTTGGCTGAAATTTGCAGTATATTAATTTCTCATCATCTATATATGAACTATTATAACAAGATTGGTCAGCTCTATATCTAAGTCGGACATAATGCCTCTTTATATTTAATAATCACACAGGTGTATTAAAACAGACCTATCCAATAATAATTCCCCAATGAATAAACCTGTGTAAGTCCCCAACACAATAAACAAGATTCGATGCTGAACCATAAAACAAAGAAAGAAAAATCACAAAAAATTTTGCATGCCAATAGCTGTAAATATGATTGTTCTTTAATTAGACCCCCCCCTCCCCCATTTTTTGTGTTTTCGGTAATTTTTCAACCTACTTCAAAAGTTGAAATTTTAAAGCAACGTTTACACGATTCTTAGACATAGACATTAATGTTTATCATAATAACACATTCTATGGTACATATCGCTTGTGTGATAAATTTCATAATCTACTGTGCGATATCTCCTTGGTCTATTAAAAAAGAACTACTTTTTTATTAATAGTAACTTCTTTCTTTATTAAAAAGGAACTATTTTTATTTAATTGACCTTGATGGAACGTAGCTGTCAAAAAATGATGTATCACTACGCCGTAATGTAAACAGATTCAGTAAAAGTGAAATCTATAGCAAAGAATTATATTTATTTATTTGTGCATGTAAGAAAAAATTGGGTGATAAATAAAATCTCCTACTCGTCTTTTTTGATATAAAGAAATATCAACACTCGTCGATGAAGTAAAAGAAAACTCGGCAAAGCCTCATTTTTACTTACTTTATTGACTTGTGTTGATATTTTTTGATATCAAAAAAGACTTGCTACAGATTCTCTATATAAGCATAAAATTTTTAAAAATAACTAACTGTTCCTTTTGCATGACTTCAAAAAGAAATGAAGCTGTTTATCATATACAATCTATAAAACTTGTTACAAACTTGTAGCAAAATGAAAAGAAATGAAGCTGTTTATCATATACAATCTATAAAACTTGTTACAAACTTGTAGCAAAATGAAAAAAAATCAACAATAATCTTCACTTACTTTGGTGCAAATGACTTTTAATATCTTGTATTATTTTCCCATTTTACATAATGATTCCCATTCAAGCATGAAGCTAAAAGAAAAAAGTATGTACATGTATCTATGTATAATACATAGCTGATCTCAATGTGTTTGGACTTTGGACTGTTGAATTCAGGTAAATAAATTATACAGACCATAAATGCAAAAAGTTGAACTTTGAATCTTTTATGTCGAGACATATGTGAGACAGACTGATTGAAAATGATAAGATACTCTCATTATTCTGTTTATACAACTTGTCCCACAATGACCAGTGACATTAAAGTGATTATTATTATAGTAATATATGTAATTTTATCAAAACAAATGAGCTGTCACTCTTATTTTCATAGTTGTAATAAAGTTAAAGTTTAATTTGCATAATTTTCTAATGTTGAAACAAAAGGTCATGCTCTTTGTTTCTGTCCAATGACAGACATTGTAAAATCTTTTGACAGATTGTCAACTAGAGACATAGAGAGAGATTAGGGTTTAACGCCACACGACACAAAGAAGACCAATTTGGGACTAACATATGATGCAATAATTCACTTGCAGGTAGGGGTCTTTAGCTAAGGGAGGAAACTGGAGGACCCGGAGAAAAGCCACAAGGTTGGACAGGTGGCCCTACTACTTGTCACGTACAAACGGGGCAACAAAACCATGCCACTTGACTCAATGACAGTCCTTATGATCTAACACACACATGTTAAACCAAAGCAACCTGTTATTACTCCATATAAATAGTTCATGGTCACATATCTGTAGTAGGCTCTACGGCAATTTCATATTTTACTATTTAAAAACGTTAAAATATGAAATTGAAGTACTGAGCTGTTCAGATATATGATTACTAGATTTGCTTAACTGGTTTATATAACTCATTTAAGGAAATTCATTGTTCCGTTGCATAAGTGACTTGATAATTGTGCCTATAATAATCTGTAACTTGGACAATATCAAGGCAACTTATCAAGTGTGGAATTTTGGGACTTCCTGTCATCCTCATAAAGGAATTGAATACGGCCATTTCTTCAAAAAATATAACAGTGTTACAGATAGTTGTGCAGGGAGTGAGAGAAATGTGGTTTAACATCCACTTAGCACAAACTAGGTCATTTTGGGACTAACATGATACAATTTTATTTTAATAATTCTAAGAGGAAACTGGAGGACTCAGATAAAACCTACAAGCTTGAGTATTCGACCTTACTCCTTGTCACCTACACCACTAGACTAAATGACAGACCTAATGATCTAAAGTGCATGCATTAGACCTCCTGTCATATGGGACTAGATATTTCTAGAGTTGTTCACACAGAATTAACTGCTCCTCTGATACACACCAAATGTCAACTGGTACGTATGTACTACTTGTTTCTTCACTATACTCAATAACAAAACAACCAAGAGATAAATCCACTTGTGTAGGGTATGGTACCCTCCCATTTTGTTCTGGTGGTTTTATTATCCCTACTTATATACCCTCTCTATAGCTAAAATAGATTCTTCCATAAAGCATCCCATTTAGGCTACAGCACATAACAGATTATATCAAAACAAACAGAAAAAAGAATGAAAAATTAATTTATATAGAAATTGTATAAAATATGTAACAAAACAAGATAGGAAACATGTAGATAGAAACACAGAAACAGTAGTCCAGTATTTACAAAGCACTGGCACTCCAAACAGTAGTCCAAATATAAGATTTACAAAGCACTGGCAATCCAAACAGTAGTCCAAATATAATATTTACAAAGCACTGGTTCAGATCATGAAAAATGAATATATTGAAAAATTCATTCAAATTACCGCATTCAGAGGAAATAATGAAGATGTATTAGTGTAAACTGTTTATTATCATAGCAACGGTACTTGACAATTGAGACTAAGTTTTGATTATTCAGTTCATCGTTTAATTTTTAAATCTCACTGGTGATTAATCCATTTAAATCTCTGCTATCTGATATTCTAGAAAGTTGATTATGGACTTGACATGTTAATAAATGTCTAATTAATAATTTATATAACATTTGAAGCCAATACACCTGCAGCCTCTTACAATAAATGATAGTTTATGTCTCATAGTACTTAATACTTAGCATGTTCAAGATGTGAAATTTTCTATTCTGAAATATTGAACGTGGCTATATTTATTAATAGTCAAAAAGTCCTTCATCTACACAGATTCAAGCCAAAACATTCCTATATTTCATTGCTTGGCATGTGTTTACCTTGACCTTTTGAATTTATCTATTTTGCTAAAGGCATTCCTGTATGCCAGTGGTTCTCAACCTTTTTTGCCAACGACACACCTTTTGAAACACATGAAAACATAGCGGCACACCTAGCTAAATACATATTATGAAAAATATTTGAATTTTGCAAAATAAAAACATGGCAAGTCAGACGTCATACAACTGTAGACAGAGACCAGTCATAGACACATCGACTGACTCGAACTAAATAAAGAAAAACCCAGCTATAACTTAATATCAGTAGACACCAGTGAATAGGCCTACTCAATTGGGATCATGTGGTTTTTTGCATTTTCTTAGTGTGCCGTTCAACTTCAAAATTCTGCGGCACACTTAGGAAGATCTCGTGGCACACAGGACTGGTTGAGAATCACTGTTGTATACTGTTGAATATTAATTTTACATAATATGTTAAATTGTATGTATGAAAGCTTTCACCCATCAAATTAGATATATGGATAACTAGAATTCTAGCACTTCTCAGCAAAGTCAATAAAAATTATTCCAAATGTTCACTCTTGTGGAACATGTTGTATGTGAAAATGATTACAGCAACTCTGTTAGATAAATTTGAATTTTGAGATAATTTAGTGGTTTGCTCTCATAATGATGCTTAATTTCTCAAGGTCCAATATTTCAAATTGTATATTAGGAATCTGACATTGAAACCAAACCAGACAATTTTTGTTAATATGTATAAATAATGTTTATTTTTTCAGGAATACAGCTGATAACACATATAGACTCATCTTTGACCCTGTGAGAAAGGTGTTTTTTTGTATTTGTTTAACTGATATAGCTTTAGACAACAAAACCTTTGGATTGTCTTTTAAAGGGACAGTAGCAATAGTTAGTGACAGATAAAAATAATGGATTTTGATTTGAATATTTTTACTAGATAAATATATGAAGTGGTAATTAAACACAGAAATAACCTGCAAATTTCCATTACTCACAAAAAAAGCGAAAATCTATTTGGAAGTTGTCACTCTCCATGTGCATGAGTTATAGACAGGTTTATCCATCACAAGGTAACTGCTGGTCAAAAAGTTTGTCTCCAACTAAATGAAATGAAATGAAATGGAGTTTAACGTCCTACTGTTCTGCTCCTAACCTGGGCTAATGAAGACGGGCATACGCCATACAGTGTGCTATGAGGGAAATTTTGCCCGGAGAGCGGCACTACGGCCTACTCTTATATCGAATTCCAACTGCCAAGGGATCTTTTACATGCACGCCAATGTGTACACGGGACCTCGGTTTTTCGTCCCATCCAAACGACTAGACAGCTTTCCTTGTCAGCCCCTCCGTCCTGCATCACTGACAAGGGAGAACCACGCCGGAAAATCTGGATGAACTTTCTCGGCCAATGCAGGGATCGAACACCTGACCTCCAGGCTAGCGAGCTAGCGTCTTACCCACTTAGCCACGTGATCCCCTTGTCTCCAACTGTATATGTAACTGACAACAGGACAATGTTATTTCTTTGAAAACATTTTTAGAGTGTTGGAGCAGAATAAAGGGTTCTAAGAGCCTTCCACACAGAATTAACCTGTTTTAAAATACAGATGTGACATCATCCTTGGCTTTGATGTTGGCATACCATTATTTCCAATAATGTACAGGCAACTTGCCAATCGTACATTATATATACTAAATGAAATATTGGACTCGTGTGATGTATTTCATTGAAAAGCATGTGCGGGATAGTGTCTGTATTTTAAGTTGATTAATGGTCTCAAGCTAAAGATATTGCGTAATATATTGAAACAACACTCGGCCAACGCCTCGTGAAGTATCAATATATTACTTAATGTCTCGCTCAACCATTAAACCATACTTATTCACCAAAATATATCTAAGATTCACCATAGAGAATTAATCAGTTTTAATTTTATTCATTGAAATATACAGTATCTACGATTCTCCTTTAAGGAAAAACCAATTTTTCAAACAGTGATTGTAATCTGACATTAAGAGCCAAGATAGTCACAATACACAGTAGCGTTTATTGATTACTTACTTTAAACTCCCACTGAAACTAAAACCTCATCTTACTTAAATCAGCAAATCAATTACTTAGTAGGCTAGAGCTAACCAGGTTTTCAGTTATATCATATATACTGTACAGACCATGCAATTTAAAATGATCATAAAAGATGCAAGAAAGGCTACTGCTACCATATTTTTGACCCTCCAACCTCAAAAAAATTTTTTAAAGAGATTGTATGCTTATCTCAATCATCATAAGTATATTGGCAATAGTATTCACAAATATTGACTCAGCCAGGGTTAATAAAAATATTTTTAAAAATACAGACCCAATCTAACACCCATTCAAATAACCCAGGCTTGCAATCGTGCATTAACTCCCTGCCCCAAAAGCCCAAACGAGATGGTGTAGCCTCTCAAATAAAATCCTGGATCATCAGCTCAAAATCCATAGACCTCCTAAGTACAAGCTGCACTACAAGATCTTTTCATAAATAAAATGTTTTGCATACATAAATAGGTGTCACGGTCGCTAAGCGGGTAAGACGCTGGCTCGCTAGTCTCAAGGTGGGTGTTCGATCCCTGCATTGGCCAAGAAAGTTCATCCAGATTTTCCGGTGTGGTTCCCCCTTGTCAGTGACGCAGGATGGAGGGCCTGACAAGGCGGATGTCTAGTCGTTCGGATGGTATGAAAAACCGAGTCCTATGTACATATTGGCATGCACGTAAAAGATCCCTTGACAGTTGGAATTCGATATAAGAGTAGGCCGTAGTGCCGCTGTCCAAGCAAAATTTCACTCATAGCACACTGTATGGTGTATGCCCGTCTTCATTAGCCCAGTTCGGAGCAGAACAGTGGGATGTTAAACCCCATTTCATTTCATTTCATTTGCATACATAAATAATGCCATTGTCAGTTAAGTAGACAAAATGTTCAAAATGAAATGTAATGGTGTTTAAGTTTAACATCCAACTTTCCTGCAACCACTGAGCTAATGAAGACAGTGGTGTTATGGCCTACACTTATTTCAGATTCCAATTAAAAAGGCTTCTTTCACGTACACACAAATGTTTTTGCGAGTCATCCAAATGCAATGTATACATATCATGCTTTTACTGAAAGGGGAGTACCCAATCTGATTAAAACACAGATCCTGGAATCTGGAAAAGTTGTTATTTAACTCGTGTTCTGCTTGAAATGAGGGGTCAACCAATCAAATGGTCTGTCGAATCGAGCTTTTGACCTTTTTGTGCGGAATTGTGGGTAGACATTAGTGGCAATAGAAATCAAAACAAAGCAAAAGTAGATAAAAAATACATGGCGGTCCCTAATTAAATGACTGACATAATCGGGTCAAATGTCGCTTGCTTGGTACCTGACGTCATAGAACGTGAACTCCCACTATAACTTGTTAGATCTACATGTAGTGTAGGCCATCCAAAGTATAAAGATAGGTTGCCAGGCAATGAAACATACGCCCACAGCAGCTAAATCGTCCGGGCAGTCAACAAGAGTTGTCGCATATTTTTACTTTTTTCGGTAATGAAACATTTATAATACACTAAAATCTGATTAAGAGCAACAACTCAGAAAACCATTAGAATTTGTTTGGTTTTTATAAAGTTCTGCCCCATGCTAACGTTTTGTATACAAAACTTTTAATACTGTATCATGGATTTAGCTGTTCCAAATTCATTGAAAATCAATATACTTGTTTGTCTCAAGATCCTAAACTCTGTGTATCAATTTAAAGTCAATCGGATATTAACTTTGGCCTCTAGAGCGTCCACAAATTTTTTTGAAGTGATCAAGGGCCATAACTCTGGCAGTAATTATTGGAAATCGCTGAAAATCAATAGGCTTCTTCGTCCTATGACCTTAAACTCTGTGTATAAATTTAAAGTCAATCGGATATTAACTGTGGCCTCTAGAGTTTCCACAAGATTTTTTGAAGTGATCAAGGGCCATAACTTTGGCAGTAATTATCGGAAATCGCTGAAAATCAATAGGCTTCTTCGTCTCATGGCCTTAAACACTGTATATAAATTTAAAGTCAATCGGATATTAACTTTAGCCTCTAGAGCGTCCACAAGCAATTGTGGACGCCGGACCGACGGACGGACGGGGGCGATGACAATATACGACCACATTTCAATATAGATCTATATTTTAATTAGATTGGGGAGTATCTGCCTAGTCTATTTTTCTGCTGCATGTTCTTACTCCACATTTATCATTATATATGTATGTACAAGGTTATACTTCATATTTTCATTTCATTCTTATACTTTCATTGCTACATCTTCATTGTATCATCCCAATGGTACATGTATATATCTCATTTCATTATATCATGTTATTCCAATACATGTATATTATTCTATGTAAAATATATTTTTGTATACATGTATATTGATGTATGTGTATGTTTTGTATACTGTTCTTAATGGACGTAATATGCAAATAAAAAAAAGTTGAACAATAGCATCAATACATTGTTCTTTGCCAGGCCCTTCATCCAGCAACAACCACATTGAACCCTCTTTTGGAGTAAGCCAGCATTTTACTAGCATTTTTCAGACAATTTTATCATTTATTGCTGATGAAACCACGTCAAGTGAAGGTCTATTCAAATCAATTATTGAACATTTAATTATTAAAAACCAAAGTAACAATAGGATTAAAAGACGCCCATTGGTGGCACTTTTCGTTTATGGTCTTCAGAGAATGCTTAATACTGCAAAATTTAAATTCTTCATATCTTTGTAAATAAGCCTGCAGTAAGCCTACTATTACTAGTAACACAACTGCACCATTGATGATGAGAAAGAGCTTTAAATGAGATTATCCTTTCTTTATGTTGACATTTTGTCCAAATAATCTACACAAATCCACCATTATTTCAAGTCATATCATAACAATTTATATCGATATTTGATACCGTTCTATGACAAATTGCCATTATTAATTCAAAATCAGTGTTTTTGTGTCCAAAATAGGCTATCCCTCAAAAAGTGATTTTCAATTCAAGCGAGCAATTTTGTGTAATACTATAGTCTACCGCATACAAGGGATTCCCCCTTGGCCATACTTGCATTACGATTTCAATTAAAGTAGCTAAGTCTCTAACTCAATATCATCCAAAATCGTCAACATTGAAAACACGATTTATTTGTCAAATTAAATCAACATTCATGTTGTGATCTTACCGGAAAAAGATGGGCTTTTGATATCCAATATTTAAGACAAAATAAACATTTTACCATTGGTACACGAATCGTGTACCATAATGCGCTTCAGCCCCAGTTAAGAGACTCGAGGGACGAGGCTAGACACATTGCACCAAATCAAACGGCATATGTAGACTGGAATAACCAGACGCTAGAAATTTGCACTCGCTTGAGACTGCTGGCTTATTTTGCCGAACATAACTGTTTTGAAATTGGAGTAAAAACGGAAACCATTGAATGTAAATCAGTTTATATACATTCATATTACAGTATTATATGCGTTGCGACCCACTTTTGTCAATTTCTAGGTCCCAAATGTTAGCGATTTAACTCCTTTAAACATGACAATTTCGAATTTGGTAAAAAGAACAGTATGTAATCAAATATCGATATACATTATTGTATCATATGAGAGTTCAAATACAGTAGGCCTACACAGGTATCGGTTTGATTTTAAATTAAAAATGATAATTTCATGTATTAAATTATCAAATATCGATATAAGTTACTATGATATGAATTGAAATAATTTTAGATTTGAGTGGATTTAGGTAAATATTGCGTCTCTTATATGTAATGCTTATTTTGCATGCTGTTCTGTCTTTAACGACACACGGATATCATCATAAATAAAGTCGAATTACCTGTAATGGCCTGTTAGCTACCCTAAGTGAATGCATTAGTCTACACTTTTTTAGTCTGTACCATGAGATACTAACCTAATTCTTTCAGTACCAATATGGCAATGGACCGGTGCTCCAGAGACGTCCAATATAGTATTAGTTGTAGTAGGTCTGGTGCCATAAAATTCGCCGTGCAAGTATTATAACCTTGACCTTGTTTATCTCCGTCTTCAAATATTGCCCTGGTCGGCCGTAATACAATACGGTGTTACTGATGCCTCGTCGTTTCAATTCAATGACTTATTTCAGCTGTTGTCAACGCGAAGGAACCTCATATTCCGTGAAAATGTGCCACAATAATTAAAGGGAGATTACTACAATTATTGACCTCCTGATAACCCCTTTATAATAATAATAATAATAGATACTTTATTTCAAAAGGGTTGAAAATTAGGCCAATGACCTTTCTTACATTTTGCCCTTTAAACAATAATTGAACATAGAAAAGAGATAGAAATTTATACATTAAAAATACAAAGAAAACAATTTGAAAATATATACATTACAGATGTACATAATTGGCACATAAAAGATGCGCAAGCCGCTTTATAGAATATTTACAGTGATGAGTGATAAGTGCTGCATGATTAACAACAATTTTTATAGTCAATATAAATCATAGTTCTATATAGAATTAACTTCCATTCAAATATTTAATTAGCTTGGCTCGGAAGCTAGGCGTTGAAGGGTTTCAAGTGTTTGAGAGTACGGTAATGTGTACAATAGGCGTGATTCACAGAATTTAATGCTATTTTTGACTACACCATGGACCGTTGGGTTATAAACATGCTTTTCAAGTTTCATCAAAATCGGATCGAAATTGTGACCTCTAGAGTGTCCACAAACTTGATATATACCAGATGTTTGTACACAATTTGCGTACGGGGGGCGGCCACTTTGTCCGGCAGTTTTGACACGATTTTCACGAAATTCGAACTCAACCAACATTACGGTGTAACGGTGATATATTCAAACGGTTTTTTTTTCTTTTAAAATCGGATAATAATTGTGACCTCTAAAGGGACCACAAGCTAGATAAAAAAAAACGTGATTTTTTGTACAATCAAGGGTCATAATTCCGGAAGTTATGATCCGATAAGCGCGAATATCAACAAGATCTTTGGGTTAAAAACACGCATTTCAAGTTTCATCAAAATCGGATCATAATAGTGGCCTATAGATGGTCCACAACCTTGATATACTATATTTTTACACCATTTTGTCCGATTTTCACGAAATTCAAACTCAACCATCATTATCGTATAATGGTGACATATTCACAAAAAAGACGAAAAAAACTATAGCCATTTCTTCCCCAAATCATGTACGTTGGCATGCCGAAAGTTTGACCACTCAGAAGGATTGACGTTGACCCAGGGGGTCCACGGGAACAGTTTGTAATGAGATTTGCATTTAAGGTAGATTAATATTGTCATTGGGGATCACAAGGAAAAGTTTGAGACAGGTAAGGTAAACAGCTCCACCTGGTGGTACCCCCAACCACGTTAATTAAATCTTCGTTAGCGCATGTCATGGAGTAATATGTTCATTTTTCATTATCCACTTTTGAACTATTATAGCAAAAACGGTCAACTCTATCTAAATCTTACATAATGCACCTTTAATGGCTTTATTTCAAAACTGGCTAGATTATTGCGGTAAGGTTTACCAGTCAAAACCACCAAAAGATGCTTTTGTATATATAGCTTATAGTCCGAAATAATGTGTCTTTCCCCTAACTAATAATGGGTCGAACGGCCAGAACAAGGCACTGTTTATTCCCTATTCCGTGTAAATCATCACAATATCTAATAGTCAATCAGTCATAATTAGTACAGCAAAACCTCGCTTATATTATACATTCCGAAATTGGCAGGGAGGGCGGGGGCAGATAGATCCCCGGTATCCCCAGTTATCTCATTCCGTTCTACTCCACTATACCCTGGGTTAATCCATAGGGTTTCCCCGATTTCAAATTATCTGCCCTTTGATTGTAGCTAAAGTCTACGAACCAATCAAAAAACAGTTTACAAAACAGTCGTTTCGCCTTCGCTTTGATAAGGGTAGATAACCATATTCATGTCGATTTACTGAATGATTTATGTAAATAATGTATATATTTCTAATTCATTTATATCTAATTGTATTATCAAAATCTGTAGTATATATGTATAGCATTATGTTTGACTTGTTATTGTTACTGTTCGTTCTTTGTCCGAAATGTTTCATTCTGTTATGTTTATTGTCATTGAACTTGAACTTGTCAATTTGATTCTCAATAGAGAGAGAGAGAGAAATGGGGTTTAACGTCCACTCGACACAAACTAGGTCATTTCGGGACTAACATATATATGGTTAATTTTATTTAGCAGTGGGAGGAAACCGGAGAACCCGGAGAAAACCCACGAGGTTGGACAAGCGACCCTACTTCTTGTCACGTACAACCGGGGATTTGAAACCACGCCAGTTGACTCAATGACAGGCCGTATGATACAGCACGCACGTGCTAACCAATCGGTCATCCAACCCCCCGATTCTCAATAGAACTCTAGAACATACATATATAAACGTCCGGTCTTCATTAACATATTTTATCACCCAATAATACATTCTACAGTAGATATCGCTTGTGTGATATATTTCATAATCTACTGCGATATCTCCTTACACGAATTTGATTGGTCAGTTGAAAAGGAACTACTTTTTTTATTTTCAAAGAACAGTTCATTTCTTATTGAAAGTAACTTTTTTTATATTAAAAATGAACTATTGGTTTCAATTGACCTTGATGGAAACAATGGGTCAATATAAAGGACTTTGCAATGGTTGAATTGCTGTCAAAAAATGATGTATCACTACACCGTAATGTTCAGTAAAAGTGAAATCTACAGCAAAGAATTATATTTATCTATTTGTGCATGTAAGAAGGGATTGGGTGATAAATAAAATCTCCTACTCGTCTTTTTTGATATCAAAAAATACTGGTAGGAGATTCTCTATATTAATTAGGGTTTCACACTGCGTAGCTTGTGTGAAACACTATTGTTTTTGTTAAAATTATTATTAGGGTTTCACACTGCGTAGCTTGTGTGAAACACTATTGTTTTTGTTAAAATTATTATTCTTATTAGGGTTTCACACTGCGAAGCTTGTGTGAAACACTATTGTTTTTGTTAAAATTATTATTAGGGTTTCACACTGCGTAGCTTGTGTGAAACACTATTGTTTTTGTTAAAATTATTATTAGGGTTTCACACTGCGTAGCTTGTGTGAAACACTATTGTTTTTGTTAAAATTATTAGGGTTTCACACTGCGTAGCTTGTGTGAAACACTATTGTTTTTGTTAAAATTATTATTCTTATTATTATTATTCTTCTTTTGTTTTGAGTAGATCTCAGCAACTGATTGTCGGATCGTTACGATTTCTTCGGTTTTAGCGGAAAAGTGGGTGTGACTTAGAGGATAAAGCTATTTTGAACGTTCTGCGACAATGCGAAATGTCCGAAATCACCGAAGCTATCGTTTTTAGAAATATTGCAGTAATTTTAACAATAATCATTGGATTTTAACTTTCGATGCATTTTGGCATAGCCGGAGACGGGGCACATAGCTACGCTACTTTTGATTTTTGATTTTCGGCAAATCTTCGCAGATATTAGGCGCTAAATTTAGAAAATTTAAATTTTTACAAAAAACTTTTTTATTTATGAATATTTTTTAGTCGTGTTTTACACAAATATAACGAGTCCTCTGACTTGGGCAAAAATGTGAAAATTTTTTGTCTCGGTAATTTTCCTTGGCCCCCATTGGCTAATTCAGTTTTTCAGTCCTAGATTAATTATTTATTGTTCGATTTGTATAAAACAAAGTTCATATGCTCCGTTGTCTCAATTGTCATTTTTTTGGTTACCAATAGTGTTATCTGTCGGCACCGGAAGTGGCGTAAATTGACAAAAAACTACAATTTTGACAGTTAGGTACCATTTTTCGAAAGCAAATATTATTTTTTTCAAATCTGGTATAACTGAAATTGTGCGCCCTTTAAAGGCGCACAAAATGTTGGGACCAGTTTTTTTAATTTCGATTCCGTTTTCGGGCTATTTCGATTAAAAGGTGAAAAAAGGTGTAAAATTAAGCTATTTACAACCCATCCAGCGTTTTCATATTTTAAAATATTAATTCATAACTTTCATAAACTCGTAGCAATAATCTATACGAAGAGAATGTATTTGAAAATTAATTTGTAATATGCGCAGTTGCCGAGAAATGGGCAATTATGCATGAGTCACTTTTTACGCTAGTTTGCCTGTAAAAGAGTCAATTATTATTCGATTTTCATAAAAGTGACACCATTTGATGTGTAATGTCAATTTTAACTAGGTCAAATCAATTTAACATTTTCAATATCACCGGAAATGACGTAATTTGGGCAAAAATTGTATTTATAGCCTTCGAAACCAGTAATTTATTCAAATGAGTCATATTTGTTATTTGTTTAAAATTTTGATATTTGATTCAAATCAACTAATACAATGAACCCTTACGATCATATAGATATCACAAAATGGTTTCTAACTTGTTCAGTTGCGGAGAAATAGGCAATTTTCAACAGGTCACTTTTTAAGGTTTTTTGTCAATAAAAGTGTCAATTATTATTCGATTTTCATGAAATTTTCACTGTGTGATACATAATGCCATTTACGATTTCATACAAGTAATTTAAGATTTTCATTATCACCGGAAGTAACGTCATTTTGGCAAAAACTGTATTTTTAGCCTTCAAAACAGATATTTTATTCGAATGAATCAGATTTGTAATGTTTTTAAAATTATGATATTTGATTCCAATCAACAAATAGAATGAACTCATTCGATCATACAGATACCTCAAAATGGTTTCTAACTTGTACGGTTGCAGAGAAATAGGCGATTTTCTACAAGTCATTTTTCAAGGTTTTTGGTCTATAAAGGTGGCAATTATTATAGGATTTACATAAAATTTTCACCATGTGATGATGCTATTTCTGATTTCATAAACCAATTTAACATTTTCATTATCACCGGAAGTAATGTAATTTTGACAGGATCACTGACATGTAGCAAATGAATTGATTGCTGGATTTGGTTGTTTCTGCGTCCATTTTATTTCATGTGTGCAATGCTTATGTGGAAACCTGTTTAACGGTTTCATTGGTACCGGAAGTGACATAAGTTCAAGGGTAACGTGGCACCGGTGAAACCCGTCATTACTGCTTCGCAGTTCTAG